AGCTTTTAATGAGAAGTGAGCACTTGAAACTGGTCTAGAGCTTCAGATGAACTGACTCAGCTGCTCATCACATTCACACCGTCCCTTCACCTGCTCCGTGGCGTTCTTGTTCCTCTTGAACTCGTCTCTCGCCCACTCACTGAGGTACTTCCTGTCCGTCTTGTCTGGTACCTGACGAATGGTCCTCAACATGTTTCTGTAAATCCCCAGAACCTTCTGTCTCTGTAAGAACTGTCAAAGAATCAGCAGTTTGCACTCAGCAGGACAAAACATGCACACAATGAATAAAGCAACAATAATCAGTTCTTAGTGATTTTACTGATTAACAAGTTCCAAAATTCAAACTTCCATCATCTCCATCTTCAGAGCGTCAAACCCTAACCCTACAGTCAGGAGTCGTGGACAAGCAGGAAGTAAGTCTGGCTCGAGTAAAGCAAGAGTTGCATCATATTCCCTTCAGAGCACAGCCTCTCAAAAGGTCTGCACGCTGTGCTATACCACAGTGTGCAGAGGTGAGGAGCAACTCATTTTGTTCAATACATGTGGTGGAGTCAAAAGCACAATATTGGCTTCTCAGTTGTAGTGGAGTAGAAGAATAAAGTAGCATAACATGGAAATATTCAGGTATTCCCCAAACTATACTTATGTACAGTACTTGAGTAAATGTACTTCAACAGAGGTGGGAGATGTAGTCAAATCTTGTACTGAGTAAAAGTAGAAGTACCAGAGTGTAGGAATACTCTGTTACAGTAAAAGTCCTGCATTCAAAATGTTCCTCAAGTGAAAGTAGAAAAGTATTCTCATCAAAATATAGTGAAAGACAGTAAAAGTAGTCATTGTGCAGATTGGTCCATTTCAGAATAATATATATGATATGTTTTATAACGATTGATCATGAAAGTGTTCTCAAATCTGGTAAAGGTGCAGCTAGTTTGAATGACTTTGTATACTGCAGGGTAGCTGGTGGATTTACTCCAGGTGGAACTAAAGTCTGATTTAACACTTGGTTATATTTCACATCATTAAGCAGTCGTACAAATGGGCAAAACGTAAGTACCACTAACTTAAAACAGGGTTGCCAACTTTGGGTACCTGGCTGGAGTGACATTTTGATATCATGGGTTTAATTACACATATGCGCACTAAATGACTGCTATCGTGTCAGTTCAGTAGCGGGACCTTAGCATATATATATATAGGATATATATACAAATACACAATATTGGACACAGACTGTAAAGGGCACAAAGTTTCATTCACTATTGAAAGTCAAACACATGTTTGTTTCCACTGTTTTATTGTGTGCCTGTCGCGATAAGCAATTCATTGACTTATCGTACGATAAATTAAAATGACCTTGATAACTTTTCTGACCTCGATACATTTCCATTTACATGAGGATGTGACTAGCAGTTTGAAAGGATGTACTTGAATTATTATTATATATTATCATTATGTCAGTGGTTTAAAATGGTCATACAACGGTGCCGACAATATTATCGTTTATTGCAATAATTTCCGGGAAAATGTATCCAACAAAATTAATTATCGTGAGATGCCTATACATGAAATACACACACACACACACACACACACACACACACACACACACACACACACACACACACAACACACACACACACACACACACACACACACACACACACACACACACACCACACACACACAACACAAAGCTACAGACTTACTCCAAACTGCCAAATATATTAATTAACACACTCTCACTCTCATATACTCTTTGACTCTATTTTGGCCTAGTAGAACAATAAGCAGCAGACTTTTACTTTTTATCATTTCTACTGGATCTTAGATCTGCGCATGCGCAATACGGGTCAGGGATTGACCAACCGGCTCCCACCGCTCTGCTGTCTGTTAACGTTGTTAAGAGTGATTGATTGATTGATTGAAAGTGTATTAACAGCTTGTATATTGGGTACAGTACAGTACAGCTCAAAACATACAATTGTTAAGGGGATGCAGACCAGAGAAAGACTTTCGTCTTGTTTACATCAGGGTCCCCCATTTCCAATTCATCATGTCATTTAAGACATATAAGACATATTTGACATACAGATGGCTTATTTACAATTTACATACAGGTGGTTTTTTACATACAGATTGCTTATTTACAATTTTCATTTTAGATTTCGTTCTAATACATCCTAACCGGACATTTAAGACATACCAAGTCTACAGATATACAGTTAGTAACAGAGTCCAAAATGCGAGTATATACATAGATGGGGGGGGGGGGGAAGCTGTCCATTGAACGACAGGTTGAGATTTGTACCATTACCGGGGCCAGTTTTGCAATGCTCTCCCCCGAAGGTGCTCTTTAAGAGAGGTTTTGAAGGTAAGTATAGTTTTACTTTCCTTTAGAGTTGTGGGAAGAGCGTTCCACCTTGATGTGGCATAATTGCGAAACGTGTATTCCCCCTTTTTTGTGCCAAATCTGGGTTTCACATGATTTGTGGAGCTCCCTCTGGTGTTATGATCATGGTATTCCTTGACCTTTGGGAAGAATTTTGACATGTACATGGGTAGCATAGAGGTGTAGTGGATCTTGTAGACCAGGCCCATTGCAAGTAGCTGTACTCTGTCGTCTACTCTAAGCCATCCTAGGTTGTCAAAGTGGGCAGAGGTGAGGTGGGTTCTAGATGAAAGGTCAAGCAGTAGTCTGACCAGTTTATTTTGCGAGTGGTGCGGTGGGGGCGGGGAGGGAGCGGATCCACTGCTTGAGCAGCTGTCAACTCAACATTGTAAATAACCAACCAAAAACGATCGCCGGTTCATCTTGTTTTTGGCGTGAGAATAGTTTGAGCAGCGTGAGAGCGTGAGATTGAGAGTGAAAGCGTGTGTCACACGCCAGATGCGTGAATTAAAATTGTCCTTAAGTACAGTACTTGAGTCAATATACTCAGTTATATTACACCACAGGATATAACTGAGTGATAACATAGTTATTTATCACATATTATAAACAGTAAAGGGGGGGGAACAGAGCCATGGAGAGTCTAACTGGTGACACAGAGAGCTAGCGTTAGCCTGCAAGCTAACCCCGCTAACAGGACCCGCGGGGTCTTTAAGAGATATACTTTACTCCTTTATTATCTCTGTGTTTACCTGTTTGAAAGTCAGCGCTGCGGACGGTAACCTTGAGACTCCCATCTCTGACAGTTAGCTGCACACAGCTTTGCCCACCAGCCGGAAAACCGGATGTTATCATTGAATAACTTCTACTTCCTGTTTGTCTCCTCCGGGGAGAGGCGAAGTCCGCCCATCTACTTCCGACCCATGGGACCTTATTCCGGAAAAATTATGTATTGAAGTCAATGGAGAGACAAAGATTATCTTTCGATCCCGTTTGAATTGTGCCATGAATTACACATATGATGTTTGTCAATCTTAAAAAATCATTTCCATGTCAAAAAAGTTACAGTTTGTCGTAAAACTGTTGAAATATAAGACTATGAAAAATACGCAACTAGAAAGACTACAAATCCCAGAATCCCGGTCCCGCATGCTAGCTCTCACGGAACCGACTAACTCCCCTTGTAGAGCTCTCAACATGCCCAGACTTGTAGTGATTTTCACCTCTTTTAATACTTTCCGCCTCATTCTGAAAGAAAGAAGTGAAATGTGCCAACGTGACGGCCATCTTGGTGTGTGGTGCGAGACGGGAGATGTAGTTCATTGAGCGGTTTCACACAAAAAAGTGTTACTTCACAGTTTTACAAACATTTTAATTTTTTCGACTTGCAAAATTATCTTTTAAATTGACAAACATATGTGTAATAATTCATGGCACAATTCAAACGGGATTATGATTGAGTTTCTTCACAGATGTGGATGAATGATGTGAAATATAACCAAGTGTTAAATCAGACTTTAGCTCCACCTGGAGTAAATCCACTAGCTACCCTGCAGTATACAAAGTCATTCAGACTAGCTGCACCTTTACCAGCTTTGAGAACACTTTCATGATCAATCATTATAAAACATATCATATATATTATTCTGAAATGGACCAATCTGCACAATGACTACTTTTATTGTCGCTACTTTCACTATATTTTGATGCAAATACGTTTGTACTTTTACTTAAAGAGTAACATTTGCAATGCACAACTTTTTAATTGTAATAGAGTATTACTAAACTGTGATAGTACTCAAGTACAAGAGGAGTACTTCTTCCACCTCTGAAAATGTGTTAATAATGAACAACTATTCTCTAATATCGAAGGTATTAATGCACTTTTACCAGTGCCGGGGTCCTGTGCATGATGGCTCTCTGTCAAATGTAATGGAACACACTCACCTTTTTTATGATATTAAGTACTCAGATCAATTTCTTGAGCAAAAGTACAAATTATCGTACTTATGGTCTACTATGGCCTTAAAAAACTCCATTACAAGTAAAAGTTCTGATTTAAAAATGATATTTAAGTATAAAAGTATTGGCATCAAAATATACAACATACTTTGAGTACTGCTTATGCAGAATAGATCATTTCACAATATTATGTTATTATGGTTATTATTTTTATCCTGTTTTCATCTTAATACATGTGAGAGTATTTTAGTATAGTAGTTCGTCAACTCGGACAAAATGAGATACTCTGTAGATTAGTAGTACAATAGTGCATTACACCATATCAGCATGTGTTTTACATGTAACCAGTAACTTTGAGTGTTCAAATAAATGTAGTGAAGTAAAAGGTATGATATTCACCTCTGGAACGTATAACGTACAAATATGTTCAGTGCAATACTTCAGTAAATGCACTTAGTTACTTTTCCACCACTGATTTGATCTCGATTTAATGCAGACAAATAGAATCTGTGCCTCCATATTGAAAAGAGAATGTTTTCTCGGACAGGAAAATATGACTTGTTGCTGAATATCTTTGAAATGAATCCTTTACAGCTAGTGATGATCTGAGTATTCCTAAACAGAAGGTGGACACAGTCAGACAGAGCAACCTGGTAAACGCTTTATTGTCATTGTAGAACAGATGTGATTGAAGACGACCAATGTGTCCTCACATGTCAGTCCATGTACGAAGCACAGAGGTGATAAACATTTCTATGCACATTTCATCAACACCTACTAGTGATGAGCCTCAAGAGTCACAGTATGGATGGAAGATCAACAGATGTGAGTCTTTAAAGCGGGCATTCATTGCAGTCCTGGTGCTTCAAAGCGTAGACAGATTCATTTATTCAAATCCTGACCGGGCTGCACCTCTGATCCATCACCCGACAGCTGATTCAGACGCTATACCGTTCCTCTCTACAAGGCACATTTCCTTTGAATGCAGTTCCTGACCAACATGCTACATAGTTAGGAATCAGCAGCTCTCCATCTGTTGCTGTTCACACTGAAGATGATGATGATGATGATGATGATGATGATGTGATGACCTTCATAACACTGACTAGAACATGCACACAGACACGAGTCCAGGTCCATAGTACAAGGGAGACGGCGGTATTTACTGACTCTTCACTGAAGTGTTTCACACCAACGGGAATCACATTTTCATCTCAGACGTGCAAGTTAAAGTAATCCTCATTACATTACAAAGAAATGGCCCTGATCACAAAGACACGACAGTAAAGGTTGCTATCAAACTCTTCTCAGATCTACAGTCAAAATAAGAAAATAAAGGCACATGTACAGTGGCACGTCAGTCTTTTTTTTGAGTCAGTCGTTTTTTGTTGTGCAGTTGCTTCCTGTCCTGTGAAAGATGGCTTCTCATTGGTCTACTGCTCGGCTGCGGTGACCAGTTCGAACCACTGTCTGAGCGCGTCGCTGAGGGTCTCCGGCAGAGCGTTGACGTCTCGCAGGATGACGTAGAAGGGGAAGGGGAACTCCTCCATGTAGGAGCGGATCTCCGGCAGTTCGCCCGGCCCTCCGAAGATGGGCACCTTGATGTCCAGGATGGAGTCCTGCAGCACCAGCGTTGACACAGTTAGTGTCTGGACATTTAGAAAATAAATCAAAGGTCAAATTCCTCTTCACTTACCCGTGAGTTGGGGTTGTCGAGCACCACGAAGATGATGAACACGTTAGCGCTGCGAGCCGCCCGCACCGCCGCCATCACCCGCTCCTTCCCCTCCAGGAACAGCCCCCGGCCGTCGGACACGATCACCAGCAGCTGGGCCGTCTCTGTGGGGGGGGGGGAGCAATGTAAGTTAGTGGCCAAGTGAAGCCTGGTTCCTCTGAAAGGAGCCACATCTCTGATTCAATCAGTTCAGGAGATGTTCTTAGAAATGACGTCTGGTTCCCTGAAGCAAAGCTTTGCAGGCATGATTAAGAATGAGGGCGGTATCTTTTCTATATCTGGAAATTAGCTAGGAATATACAATAAGCACAGCAAAAATCTTTTGGAGTTTGTTTGTGTGTTTTAGAAAAGCAACCCATCAGGCGAGTGAGAACTAAAGGAACAGGTGAGATATATCATGCAACAACTTACACATAAAACAATGATTTGATCGACACATTCGGAACAATTGATTGAAAGTGCACATTTTGATCTGAAAACCAACTATTGTTTGAAAATGTCATATAAATGTTATGTCTTATTTAAATGCAGCTGCTGATCCACAATACAATCTGCCACAGTGGTGCACTGTCAGAAGTAGCTTTTGACTAAATGCAGTTCAGTAGCTCCTGGTCTTATTCTGTGTTACAGGCCTTCTCAGTGACACCACCTGTGTCCCGCTCCATGAAAAGGAAACGTTAGCTCCACCTTAAGGCTGGGACAATGGCTCGTTTCTGCCTCCTCTCCCACTGAAGGCATGTTTGTTGGATATCTGATACAATCTGGGACCTGAGTCCATTCACTGGGGGGCTTCTCAAGCAGTCACACACACATATCACTAAAACATCCATCAGCCATTAAAGTGGCTCTGTTAATGATTCATCATGAACACTTTCACATTACCGTAACAACATCAGTCATTTGGCTCAGGTTGTAGAAACAATGTGTTACTCATTCAATGAAGGTGTCAACAAGGATCTGAAGTGCTATTGGTTCCTTCTACTGTATAAGCACAAGTGCTTCCTCTAACATATTAACCAGGTCCGACACCAGTTCAGTGTATTCATTAACATCTAACTCTGCGCCGTCATGGTTCCTCCAGAGAAAAGCAACACTTTCATTTCCCCGAATGACACAGAAAAGGGTAAACCGCACAGCAGATCATTATTGATTCCCAGTTTGATAATTACATATGAAGCAGTGGGGGTGTTTACCTGAGCTTACAGACCCAGGAACCTGCTGTCGTGCTGCTAGGAACATTTGTGTTGAGGTGTCCAAGAACTGCAGAGGAGAGGAGGGGTCAGTCTGACAGCAGGGGACGCACTTAAACAGCATCAATGAGGTCTTATCTCCAAACCGAATGACATACTAAATGGAGCATTCCAACATTACATTCAGATTAAAGCCAGAGAATGTAAGCCTAATGAGAATACTGTAAAGGCAACATTAGAAACCGCCTTCTTGTTCATTTCCTTTGCAGCATCAAAACATTTAAAGAAAGATATCCGTTGGATTTCTTATGATTATATCTGTGTAATGTATAGCACTGTGTGTTGATGGTTATGACTATAGTCATAAAGACTATGGACATCTGACAGAAATGGGTCAGAATAGTGCTTTCACACTTTCATACTCAAAACGTAATATTTATGAATGAAACATCAGGAGGACCTGTGCTATCCGGGTCTTCTTCTGCTGGAACTGGCAGAGGCGCAGGATGCGGGCTCCGGACTGGTCGTTGAACTGCTGCTGGAACGGGTGGAGCAGCTGCACCTGCTCGCCAAAACTGAACAAGGAGCAGGCGGGGAATGTGAGCTTCACATTGAAGGTCTCCTATCATGCTATTTTTAGGCATATATTATGGGTCTCAGATATATACAACAAATATAAAAACATGTGTATGATGTGTTTTGCTCAAAATACCAAACAGATCATGCATTTTAGACATCCCTCATATTCCTCTGTTTCAGGCCTGTTAGAGAACTGCAGGTTCGGGGTCCTTAGAAAGAGGAGGGGGGGCTAATGCCTGCTCAGAATTACCCGGCAGATTCAGCTAAATGCTGCCGTTATTAAATACCATATCATGTTCCAAACCACATCAAGGATTATTTCTGAAACAGTATGGAGCTCAAATGCTTTTTCTCTCGTGAGGTGAGTTCCTTTTTTATTTCACACATACTCTCTCCAGTACAGCATTAGCTCTGAGTGTTAGCATGCTGCTATTGTAAACACAGACCATATGTGACCTGCTCCATCGAAATCAGTCGCATTGACCCGAAGACACATTTTGAGTTGTATACACTGTTGGAAAGAGGAGATTCCTAGCTTTCTAATGATATCAGGAATGTTTTTGTACTCCGAATATTAAGCAAAATATGTCACATTATATAATGACTGTCACCGAGTCATCATTTTGAGAAAAAGGCCTCTAATGTTTTCTCTTCTCTGGAATCCATCGATCTGATTGGTTATTAGCAAATGATCAAAATACTACGGAGGGAAGATATTTTCGTTTGGATTACTGGTCTGGGGGAAGCTCGTGTGTGTGTGTATGTGTATGTGTATTTTTGCGTTTGTGTGTATTGTGTTTGTATTGTGTTGGTATTTAATAACGGCAGCATTTAGCTGAATTTGCCGAAACAAGTTTAATATAATCTGAAAGCCAAGACTTTGTTTAATTGAAATCAGATGAAAACAAACTGTAACGGACCCTGCCGTGTTATCTATGATTACTATATGCGTACATTCATAATGTCAGCTGGAGGGAGGGGGGGGGGGCGGCGCTGCGGAAGAGCAGATTGCGAGTGAGCGCTGTCATCTTCCCTTTTTTAAAAACTTCAAAAATGTATTTATCGTGTGATTTTGGAAATAAAAGTCTTATATTCTGAAAGCCAAGACTTTGTTTATTTCAAATCAAACAAAACGCCCGAACCACAAAAAACTATTTTTTTACGCAAATCCACGTTTATTTTGAAATGAGCCGTTGCGACTTCCGACTGATTTCGATACAGCGGGTCACATATTACTTCCAAAACAGTCGGGCATTGTTTCTGATAGCAACGTTTCTGATAGGGCCGTGGGTGTAAAGCCCGCCCACAATTCCGATATTGCGTAATATCGGACGCAAATCTGGATCAGCTCCGTTGGAGCCCCGTTTGTAGAGATTTGGGTACGGAGGAAAAGAGAGAGGGTTGTGTTTTCTGACACTGCGTGAGTTCCCTGAAACACCGGGGACACATGTTCATGTATAAAAGACATCAAAAGGTGCATTTTGCATGATAGGTCCCTTTAAATACACAATCACAAACACTGCATTTCAAACTCATACTTTTAGTTTGATTTATTCTGAGATTGATCATTTCTTAAAATCGGCACAACATTTTCTTATTGTCTGTATTTGTTTTTTAAACTGTAGTTTTTATTGAGTTTTGTTTGTATAATCAACAAACTCACACTAAGTTAGTAAGCCATTTGTTCTGGCTCAGCCTTACACCAGTTTCTTGTTATTGCTTTCTTGCTTGTTATTAACAGCATCTTAGATAATAGTCTACTTGCCAGCACTGTGAACCCTGAAATGTGGAGGACCCCAACGTTTGATGATAGAAATGTATAGTCCGGGTCCCCAGCACATAGAAACTACAGGATGCTAACCTGCATACAGTATGTTGGGCAATTTGCACAATCATAATATATATAATAAGGATATCAAATGTTGCATTCTTTGAGTCTTGAATAACCCAGAATGTCTCAGTAGCATGCACATTTCCCCAAAAGGTTTGTAGTTGATGGAATTGTCTGTCTTTAATGTATCTCAGAGGCTTACCTGCACACAGACACCTGTCCCGCCTCCAGCAGAGTGAGAGCGTTGGTGATCACTGACAGGGATTCAAACGCCAGCTGCAACACACACACACACACACACACACACACACACACACACACACACACACACACACACACACACACACACACACACACACACACACACACACACACACACACACACACACACACACACACACACAAGTTTATTTGCATATATGAATCCCTATGTTGAACTCAATGTCATCACTATGGTTCTGAACCAGGAGATCCAACTCCTCCGTGATAGATGAAGTATTCAGATTCAGCCGTGTCTCTCTCTGTGGACGTCTCACAGACATCCAGCAGCAGCCCGTGTCCTCTCACCTGTTTGGAGTGGTTGTCCACCATGCTGGAGGAGTCGTCCACGGCCAGGCAGATCTGGTACTCCCTCTTGCTGGGCTTCGTCCTCCGCAGCCAGATCTTGTCTTTCCGGAACTGACTGGCGATGTAGGGGATCACCTTCCTCATGTTCAGACGCTTCCCTGTGCGGTAGTCCCCCCTGTGGAGCCACATCACATGACCTTTAACTTCACTGTGAGGCTGTGCATGTAACACAGCATTAGCATTGATAAACATGAGCCTTTCATGACAGGAGACAACCCAGGGGGTCAAAGAGGTATCCGGGGGGGGTCCCCATGCAACTTTAGTATATTTTGATGCTAATACTTTTACTTGAGTAACATTTTGAATGCCGGACTTTTACTTGTAACAGTATTCCTACATTCTGGTACTTCTACTTAAGTACAAGATCTGAGTACTTCTCCCACCTCTGTAGGACCTATCATGAGGTCTTTGGAGTCAAACTTACCCCTTCTCCTTTTATTGCAATTGTGGAGTTATTTGAGAGGACATTAATCAAATGCTATTGCTTTCACTTCCCTAATTGCTAGGAGACTATGATGATGAGTGTGGGGGCTCACTTGAGTTTGGCGGCCTTCGTGGGCTCCAGGATGAGGCGCAGCTGCTCACACAGCTGCTGGGACAGAGCCGAGGTCAGGGTCTGGTACTGGTGCCACATGGAGGCTGCTGCACTCTCCTGCAACACGGACAACAACACATCAGTCTGAGAGTCACATTTTAAATACTATGTGCATGCCTTTTTATATAATAGTGTTCTATTTTCTTCGTCTGTATCTTTACTTTGCAGTAACAACGTTAATGTCCCCTTTTTGGGACAAATAAAGGAATTCTGATTGTGAGGAGAAATGTTAAATAATGTTATGAGTATTATTTTGCAGGCACAGTCCTTTCACAGCCTGTACATACTGTATGTAATGTTCTACAGGAAGCACTGTGCCTCACCTCCTCCTGAGTGCCTGGAGCCAGCTGGTGCCAGGCCTCCAGCTGCAGCTCCATCTCCCTCCTCATCTCCTCCGGGTCCCTTTCTTCCTTCTGCAAACACACACACAAAGTTCAATGGGCAAGCTTTTTATATTTGACTATTTACCATTACAACACAGTGCTGAAGGAGGGGGGATGACTGAAAAACGAGATTGCGGATATAAGTCTCCAGAGGGCGGCTGGCATTTCCCTTAGGAATAAAGTGAGGGGAGGGACTCTGACCTTACAAGGTGCCCAAACTCCTTTGGGTTCGGGCACCTTGGCCTGGGAGAGTCGATTGATGTGGACAGGGAAAGGGAAGTTTGAGGTGATTTGCTGGAAATACCAGCCCACGACCCGACTCCGATGGATGGATGGACAACACAGAGCTGAGACATTTGGACTAGTTGTGTGCAACAGAGTGCAATAGAGCTGTGAAGGGATAACATGTATAAGATAAGATGGACCTTTATTAATCCCCATGGGGAAATTCAGTATGAACCCAACCCTGAAATTAGCAAGGGCCCCCTTGACAAAAGTCGATGGGATTTTTCCATTGGATTTCAGATTACGGCAGAAAAAGTAAACGCTAACACTATGCTAAAAACAAACTACATCATGGTTGCATTAATTATAATTTGTTGTCATGATGACATTTAATAGTCTAAATGAGACACTTATTAGCAACCATCGAAGCTGCTGGGAGTCCCAGCAGCTTCGACTGAAGCCTTCGAGTAAATCGCCAGAACGCCGACACCTCCTCATCTCCACCGCTCCCATGTTTTCTTTTGTGTTGTCTGCGTTTGTGCCCTGGGCTAATGCTAATGCTAATAATGCTAATGCGAGGATAATAAAATGGCGGCTCTACAAAACATTTCAGAGTTTTACGGGGCGTGGTTTGCAATTCGCCCAGCCAATAGAAATTAGTACTTTTTTGGTCCCACCTCTCAGCAGGCACTACAAATGGGGGTAAAAGTTCCCTAAGTACTCTTTTTGGTGTGAACGCGACATCAAGGGTACTAACGGGACTAAACGGGAAAAGTACGGCGAAAGTACTCCGGTGTGAACGCGCCTATTGACTTCCAGACCAGGGAAGTGCAGTGAAGGGAAGTGGTCAAATGCTGACTCATTAGAGAGCTTGTGTACCTGCATGGTGTCCATCAGCAGCTCGGGCACCGTGTGAATCGTGGATTCAGTCCGTCTGTCTACCCGCTCTTCTTCTCTGGGTTTCTGTCGGTCCTTCTGTCTCTCTTCATCATCCTCCTCTCCCTGCTTCTGCACCTCCATCTCCCCACTGTCTGCACCTGCAGGATAAGGAGAGGGGGTGGGGGGTTAACACAGATACATCTATTTGCTAAGAAAATCACAGATGTTTCGTCTTAAATGTGTCACCTTTCTGGGAGGCCTTGGTGGAGTCCAGCTGCTCGGGCTTCAGCTCCTGGACCTCAGCAGCCTGGAGATCCTCTTCCTGCTTATCTGTTTCCATGGCAACATCCTCATCGTTCTGATCTTCGTCCTGGTCCTTATGAGGGCCTGCTGCTTTCTGCTGGTCTGCACTGGCAACATCTGGAAACAGCAAATATGAAATAAAATGACAGAGCAGGACAGGAACTGATGAAAAGATATTTACCCATCCAAGAACATTTATATATGAACCTCAAATATTTTGTAAACAAAAAAGCTCACATCAGTGGTAGAAATATAAAGTAATAAAGAACTGCATCAAACAAATAAAGAAAAATACAGTTTCATATTTCAGATAAAATATTTGTTAAATACACAATTAGTTTTGATTGCCTTTTTAGTCTAAATCTGCATCCATACCGTCACCTTTGAAGTATGTACAAATGTCTCTATCCTGGAGTTGTACTTTTTGTCCTGTTTATCTTAAATTCTACCTCTTACCAAAACCTTCTGAAATAAATACAATCATAGAATAAATACCTTTTTCTTATAACTTATAGAAAAGCAGTCTAAATCTTTCCACTGTCTCTTTATGCAGGGTATATTGTGGTTAAAATCCTTAACTTTATCAACGAGATGAAATGTGTTTCCTATGATTTCTCTGTTTGAACTGACTGTGTGTGTGTGTGTGTGTGTGTGTGTGTGTGTGTGTGTGTGTGTGTGTGTGTGTGTGTGTGTGTGTGTGTGTGTGTGTGTGTGTGTGTGTGTGTGTGGTCACTGACCATATGTCTGCGTGTCGTAGGCGCTCTCCCCCTGCTGGATGTGCTCGTACAGGTCTGACTCCTGCTGGGCGTCGCTCTGCTTCCTCTCCTCGCTGCGCTCCTTGCTGCTCTCCACCGTGCGCAGCCGCTTGTTGATTCGCTCGTTGTAGTCGCCCGTCGAGCGCTCGTTGTCCGCCTGACCGGGTTTCCTCTTGAAGCTCTGCAACAGCAAAGAAAAACACTGATGATGCACTAAAGAAACATTTACTTGAAAGATTCTAACTCCATATTTGAAGAGAAACCTAAAGTCAGTACAGAATGTAAACCATACTCCTATATGTTGGCCTTATAAAGCTCTATGAGGCTTACGGGAAATATTCATCAGAGAGATATCAGCCATTTGGGGATTTGTATACATACAAACATACTTATCCCACTATTTGGAAAAACACCAGAAGAAGTACAAATGATAGATTCTTAATTATTACTTTTAATAAGAGTATCAATAAGGAATTGGTTAAAATATGATGAAAATGGAAGGATTTTGTAAATGAAGTGTATAAAATAATAAAAAGATTAAACAAGAGATGGGTAAAAGCGGGTGAGGTATACAAGATACAACGTTAATAGAGCCCTGTGGTTAGATGTGACAATTGATATACTTATGAGAGTTAATGATACATCTGTAAACAATTCTATTTTTCTATACTTTTTTCCTCCTCTTTGTCAGAGCTGAGCATGTTATTTAGTTTCCCACTGTATCTTCATTTGAACTGTATTTAATCGTGTTATGTACGCCCTGTAACTTTATCATTTCTTGAAGTGCAAAAATAAAACAACAAAACAATAAAAACTAAACAATAGCAGAGGGAGGAGAGTGGGGTCTCCAGATGGTCTCACCTGGGTCTTGTTCTGGGTCTGTTTCTGTGAGGCCATCCTGGCTGTCAGCTTGGACTGGTGGCCCTCTGATTGGCTGGCATCAGCAGAACCAGTCCCGTGCTCCTAACACAACACAGAAACATGTTTACACTCTATCCCTGTTAGTCTGGTTGGTGGACTGAAAACATTAGAAGAACAAAACAGACAAACAATCCCCCAGTAAACATAACAGTACCCGATGCCTTAACCCACCCCCCCCTCCCTCAGTCAGTACCTCTTTGGCCTGCTCTCTCTCGGAGGCCTCCCCCCCCAGCTCCACGGCCGTGTCGCTCTGGACGTTCTGCTCTCCGGTCTGACCCTCCGTGTTGTGCTCCTTCCTCTCCGCTGACCTCCGGCTGCTCCTCATCCTCCCCTGCTCCTTCCTCCTCCTCCTGTAAGCATTACCACAGTGACACAGGGAACAGAGGCTTCAGTGTCACGCAGCTCCATCAGTTTGTTGACATACACACCTTTGGTTTTTGTCCTTCGTCATTTGGAACACTCAGATCTTCGTCTCTTCCTGCCTCCTCTCCTTTCCCCTTCTCCTCTTCTTCTTCATTTTTCTCAGCAGACTCTTCGTCTCCCTCAGCCTTCTCTCCTCCTCCCCCCTCCTGCTCCTCCTCTTCAGTCTTGGGCTCCTGACCCTTTTCCTCTCCTGGCAGCTCTGTCTGCTCCTCCTCCATCTTTTCAGCTCCTTCCTCCTCTCCCTCTTTCTGTCCGTCCTCCTCCTTCTCATCCAGGGCCGTTGACTTCTCATCAATGTCAAACGGATTCTCTTCTGAACGGGTCAATTCAAAGTGTTAAAGCATTTCAAATAAGGGTAGAGTTTAGCAGAACACCTGTGGATGGCGTATAGGCTGTCTAACTAAGCATGGTGGACAGTAAGGGGTCCGCCACCTTCACATAGAGTAACTGTTCCTGACTCACCCTCCCCCTCGCCCTCTCCCTCCTCTCCCTCGCCTCCAGCCTCTTCATCCTGGTCCAGGTTCAGGTCCTCAGGCAGATCCATGGCCTCGGGGTCCGGCCTCTTGTCCTGCTGACCGTGGTAGGGGTCCACTTCATTCTCATCAAACTCACGCTGAGAATCAGAAACAAGTATGATATCATTTGTGACATTTTGGAAATATCTGAAAACAATCCTGGAAGAAAAAGATCCATCTTAAGGGAACCAGAAGCAGAATAACTTCATTAGTCCCAGAGGGGGCATTTACAGTGTTACAGCAACAAGAGGCGTGACAGGTTCAAAAGGAGGCAGGCAATGATACAGAATATAAGCTCACTTATTTAAGAGAGAAAAGCATACATTTGTAATAATTAGGGATGTAACGATACCAAAAATTCACAGTACGATAATATCGCGATAACAAGTCCACGGTACAGTATTTATCGCGATATTGAATAATAAAGAAAAAATAAATTACATTTTTTTTCAATAAAAACATGTTTTACTCTGAAAATGTTTCTTTATTACATAATAAATCTGATTTGTACAGCATTTTAGTAGGATAGCAGTATTTTAAAGTGTAAAACACAAAGTGACAGTAACAGACTGGAACAAGAAAACCAGTGTTTTTGTACCTATAGTACTACCAAACAAAGTAGGCATTTTCTTTGTGCCACTGCACCTCACAAATAAACAAGGACATTTAATAATCAGACCCTGCAATCAAATAAATCAAGTTTCACTTTAGTTTTTCAAGTAACTCAACTCAAACTCACTAAGTCACTCACTCAGCACCATCAGACAGGTTTTTAGGAATATGAGAATGTCCACATTTCCAGGTATTTATAAGCTGGGATGTTTGGGCATTTACAATATCCCCTGCTCTGGAAAAAACTCTCGCTTGGTACTGATGTTGCTGGGACAGCAGTGGTCGCGTTAACCGAATATTTTATTTATCAATGACGGAAAAATCTGAAAGCAGTCTGTCATTTTGACAGATTAGAACAAACTCTGAACAGCGCCAACGTTTCCCCGCAGCGAGGTTCTGGTGTTATGCCGTGTTATGCATGCCCTCCAAAAGGAAATGATATAGTTTCCAAACCGTACAGATCAATACATGTCTGGGAGGTTTTGCTTTACGCTGTGTGCGCTCCCGCGAGGTGCATGCACACACGGCATAACACCGCCCCCCCCCCCCGTTGACAGTTCACGAGCGTGCTCTCTCGTGAACTGTTCAGACCCGACGGGTAATAAGGGATTATGACGGACATTTTACGATCCTGTCTGTCAAAATGACGGACAGCGAAAAAGTCTAACGCCACCTCAGTGGGACGGAGAGATATGCTTTGGCCATGGGTGACAGCAGTGGGTCAAACTGTGCATTGTCTCTCCACCACTTCAAAAACAATACAGTTGTTACCAAGAAGGTGAGGCTTATTGACAGAGATATAAATATACTGTTGGTACTTGTCAATGTCTCTAGGTGTGTAAATGTAGCCCTGTAAATACGATGTCCTTTTGTGTTCTGTTGTTTTATGTTCATGTTGTAACCTACTTGCTGCCATGTTGGACAGGTCTCTCTTGAAAAAGAGATCGATGATCTCAATGGGACCACCTGGTTAAATAAAGGTTTAAAACTAAATAAAAAAATTCAAAAAAATCGCGGTAGATTTTGTCAGTCTCACGACGGTATTGGGACGTTTATTTACCGCGATACCGCGATATTCGGTATATCGTTACATCCCGAGTAATAATAGAATACACATAAGACAAATAAGTACACATCTATGGCTCAAAATTAGGAGCAACAATTTAAAGAACTAAGTGACACATAAAGCACACTAAGAGACATGAAGGGTTAGTGGGGGGGGGGGTCTGTGGTTGTGACTACCTCATCTCCTTGTTCATTGATCTTTTCTTTCTCCTCCACGTCCATCTGCTCATCTTTGTCCTGCTTCTTCTTGTCTTTGTTGGGGTCTGCAGCATCCAAGTTGTCGTCGTTAGCAACCATCTCAGATTCTCCCTGAGAACAGGGACAGGAGAAGTCACGGGTTTCAAAGGTTTCATTCAACATTTGACCGGTGGATCAGTTCATGTAAACTGCTGCTTTACAGCCTGGTGGGGACTCTGTACCTCATCCATGCCCTGGCCGGACTCTTCCTCCTTGTCACTTCCTTCCTCCTCCTCCTCATCATCATCATCATCCCCCCACATCCTCTCATCCAGAGTGTCTGTCTGTCCTTCCCCCAGGTCACCCATCTTCTTATCCAGATCCTGGTCCTCCTCTTTCCCCGAGTCCTCATCTTCACCTGCAAAGGATAAAGAAAATGATCATCCATTCAGACTAGACTTGAACCGTCCCTAAAGTAGCCAGCAAGCGGAAGTCAAGAGACACATCTTGAAAGGATTCACCCAGAGACGACGCTTCAGGTTACCTGCTTCATTCTCATCCCCATCATGCATCTGGCCATCAAAGTCATCTGACATCTCGATGGCGTTGTCCTCCGCCTTGATATTCCCTTTATCCTGCTCCTCCTCCTTCTCCTGACCCTCCTGCAGAGTGTCCTCCACCTGGGGAAGAACAATTTGGGTTTATATATAAAAAACTGACATTCAGCGGTTTATGGTAATCAATGACTCATTCATTAATACTTATAGTCTAAACTTCTTCAAAGTGTTCAGCTCTCTTCATTTATTTTACTATAGTCTGTATGTTTCTCAGTTGAACAGGACCTATAATGCAATATGAAACCAGGCTGCTCTACTCAGCCGTAGCATTGGTGTGTCATTGCTACTATACATGTTAGAGATTGGTTTTGAAAGAAAAAAAGGTTACACTACAAAAACGTGAAATCTTGCCGAGCATATTTGAACACTTTTGAGCATTTCTGGCTTATTTTGTAACAACATTTCCTGATCCTGGTCAAATAGTTCAAAATTAGGTTTCCCAGCTAATTAAAAGATCTTATTTCAAGAAAGTCTTGAGGAAAATGTTCACTTGTTACAAGTGAAAACCCCTTGTTTTTATACTTTATTCTGGAGCAGCATTGTTTTCAGTGTACCAGTGCCACTAGCCTTTCCCAGATTCAAAGCGCACCTCACAGCCTTCAGCAGCTGACGTGAGTTTTTGTTCTGAACAAGCTCAGCTAATTAAGACCAAGAGAAGATGAAAGCTCCTACAAGCATTAAGTCACATTTGACCATAGGGGTGGGCGATATGATGATATTACTGTAGGTCTCCACGATATGCCTTTTCAGAGATATCATATCTATCGTGATAGTGCACCAGGGTAGGATTTTCACGGCGGCCATGACGGCCGGTCTGGCCGTGAAGCCCCGAAAATAATTGTAAGTCCTACGGCCACCATGGCCTGCGTGCCCCTGATACTGTTAAAATCTCGAAGTTGCTTTAAAAGCGTCAGAACAGTGGTTTCTGAACTGCGTTAAGCTGCGTTCACAACGGACGCAATGCGAATATTCTCACCCTAACCGCTGGAGTTTCACCGCGGCTGTCAGCTGTGTTTACTCCTGTCATTCAAACAGGACGCGCTGGAGAGGGGGCGGGGCTTATATCCATGTAAATACTGTGGTGGAAACCAAAATTAACCTATTTTACCGTGATTTAATTGTAATACACGTTTCAAAATGATGCCGAAGTAACTACATACTGATAACGGTCAGTAAAAACCAAGCTGTCTAGTCAGGATTCAGACAGTATTGCACTTCATTTATTGTCTTGGTTGATTCTGTTGGCTTATATTTGATCAATAAGGTATTTATATTGTTTTTCCCTTTTTAAACAGATGTTCAGTTATGTTAAAGTCTTTGATTGCACTTCAAGTCTAAAGTTTACATTTGAATTGTTTGGCACTGACTTTTCCTCATTGATGTTTTACTCTCCTTTTCATGTTTATTGATGTTACATCACTGCTAGTGCTAAAACAGAAAGTGCATTTTTATACTGAGAAACTGTGCCTTGAATATTTTTTATTTTATTTAGCAAGAGAGTGCAATTTACTTGGTGAAGAAACCAGTGTTGACATTTGTTGTGTAGAGTGTAGGCCTACCACTTGAACACTGAGGAAGCCATATCAAAATTCCTGTTGAATTGTTCATTCAGGGATTCACTGCAGAATTAAAACCAGCTTGAAATGGTATTTTGGTCTGTTACTCCTTTTTATTTTAGTTTGTGTTACCTTGTAGGTGGTTGTACTGTTAAGTAACTTGAAAAATAACCATAATAACCGACATGAAAAATATCGTGAGAAATATCGTCTATCTACTTGACCATGATTATTTTATGAAAATGTACAAGTTAAGTTACCTGATCCTCATTCTCGATCTTGTCGCTGACGTCTTTGGAGCCCTCTCCCTCTCCTATTCCTCCGCCCTCATTCTCGTGGAACTCCGTGGCTCCTTCTCCATCTCCACCAGCCATCAGCTCCTGAGGCAGGCAGAAACCCTGAGGGGGGGGGCACAACAAACATTGAGTCACTGCTTATGTCACTGCATGACTGCATTTTAGATGACCACTCACTGCAATATTGCTAAAGTAAGGTGAAGGGAAACTACACGAGTACTGACTGAATACACACTATCCTGCAAGACTATGGCCATCATCAATATTAACATATCAGTTATTTATCATGATTATTCTTTGGGAATTGAAAAAAATATACTGTTTATATACATATATTTATTTTTGTATTCAAATTAAAACAAACTGCTTTCACTTCCTTGCTGTGGTACGAACTGTTTTGTCACAGCAGCAACATTTCTTAAAAATAAAATACAAATAAAATAAATACAAATATAAAAACAATATAAATAAATATTCTCAGTAAAAAAGCCATATATTCAGAGGAGTATCTAAACACTATCAAATAATTGCACTTTGAGATCAAATGAAGAGGCTAAATTAAGCTCTTGTAAAAGTGTTAAACATTTCACGTATGTGAATAATCAAAACCTTAGAGTAAAGCACACACCCACAAAGCAAACCCTATTTCAATGAGAGATGGTGTTGCCCCCTACCTTCTGAGCGAGCTCGCTGAAGATGTTGGCCAGCACTGACAGCAGCTTGCCGGTGCTCCTGTGAGCCCCCAGACACACAGCCATGTAGGAGCGCACCGTGTCCGAGTACACCCCCAGCAGCGGCTCCAGCTGCACCAGCATCCTGACCGCTCTGTCCACCTCCTGCACACACACACAGGGACAGGTGCAACTGAGCTAGAGGCCTCATTCTGACATGAAACAAGCTTCTCACACACCATTATCAACTCAAACTTGATTTATGAAGCACTTTTCAGACACAAAGGTGCAAAGTGCTTCACAATTCAAACACATAGACAATCTATAAAGAAACTATCTCCCCTTTATGTAATAACAGAGTAACATTCATTACAGTGATTAAAAATAACATTAGTAGCAACACACATATATTGTATATAGATACATATATAATAAAAAAAAGAATACAAATACAATTCAGTTAGAAGCTACATTTAAAAAGGTGGGTCTGCCCTCAGGTCTTGGCCAGTAATAACAAAAAGAGGCCTCACCGAGGGTCTGTGTTCTGACTTTGGGTTTGATTAAAAGGCCAGTCCCAGAAGACCTGAGTGTTCTAGAGGGCTCATACTGTCGGTTAAGAGCAAATCCGATAAATAGCTAGGCCCAAGACCATTAAGAGCTTTCAAAACCAATACAAGTATTTTTAAATTGATTTGAATTGATAAGGGAGTGGTTGTTGGTACCTGGAGCTGCAGGGGCTGGCAGGAGTCTCTGTGGGTCTTCAGGAGGTCCAGCAGCCTCTCCAGCCCTGCGCTGACCTCTCCCAGACTCAGAGCCCCCACCTCGGCCTCCAGCTCCCCCTCCAGCAGCACAGTCAGGTGACCCGGCTTCAGCAGGTCCTCCACGGGCTTTTCATCCCCTTTCTCCTCCTCCTCAGCACCCTCTGAAACATCACATGTACACAACATTATATCCTTTGTATTAATGCTGTATAATAATATATCGGCAGAGGCTTTTATACGACGGGGTCCTTTTTCTGTAGCTAGCCGTTATCAAGCCTTGCTCAGGACTTAGTTTTTCCCTGTATTTTTAAAAGGGGAGAAACAAACACACAGGCCATCACTAGCTGCACTGTATGTAGAATGCCCTCTCTGAATGCAATATACAACACTTATTCAAATGTAAGATACAACTGACAAAGACCATGGGTGTTTCTCAATGTCGAGGACGCTTGCTTGGTAGCACATGTCTTCCGAGTCACTTCCTTCAGAAGCGAGGCAAGAATCCTTCCTGGCATTTGGAAAACGAAGAGTGGAACAGGCGAGCAAGTGTGCGTCATATGAGAGGCCCCGCCTTACATTTTCCGCCACAGATTTGGGGAAATTGGTCCGTGCGCAAAGCATTGTGGGGATTTTAAGACCGCGGAGTCTACACATGTGCAGCCTCGAAATGTCTCGCTACGAAGTACGCCGGGCTCGGTAGGTTTCCAAGTATGCTGTACATTGGAACAGTCCTTCGGCGGCACTCGATGACGTAGTATGCTTGAAATAGTGGCTCTGGAGCAGCCTTCCTCGACATTGAGAAACACCCCATGTCTGAAGCTGGTGTCTCCAGTCAACCAGAAGTAACAAACCTGGACTGTTGGGTAGTCTGAAAAAGCCCAGTTTTTGTTAGCATGCTTATTAAAGTATCAAAATAAGGTGGAAATGTGTGGCGAGCACTTCATCATTCTCACCTGTCTTCACGTCTCCAGGCTGCTCTCTCTCCCTCCTCTTCACCAGCGCCTGGACAGCACACAGCACTGTGTTGATGTGAGTCTCCAGCTCAGCAGAGAACTCCGTACAGAAAGCCGTCTGGTGATCTGTTGGGGAAAGAAGCAGAGGAGCTGTAGAACCATGGTACGAAATGTGATTTGTAGCTGAAGTTACTTTGTTATCCTCCTCGATTTGTGTTTATATCTGTCAGTGAGGTGTCTGTAGGGATGGGTACCGAGCCCCCGGTATTAAACGGGCCCCGGGGCTGAATTATTAAAGACCGTGGTACCGTTAAGCTCCGACGTTATCGGTCTTTTTATCAGTACTGGAGACATTTAAAATATATGTCATATGTATTATATTACATATCACTTGTTAGACGCTTTTATCCAAAGCGACTTGCATACTCAATACTGTGGGCAATCCTCACAGGAGCAATTTGGGGTGAAGTGTCTCAGGGACTCAACGACATGCTGACTGCAGTGGGGTTTGAACCTGTGACCCCCTGGTCCCAACACCAACACACAACCCACTGCGCCACACGCCTCCCGTATCATGCTACACAAACATTATATTGCAGTTTTAGTGTCGCCAACTCCGTTTTCTAACATGCAAAATGAATCTATGATTATTTTTAGTATTTTCGATCTTTCCAATCCAGACGAGAGATCTCTCTCCCCCGTCTGTGTGCGAGGGGGCGGAGCAGTTTAAGCACACGCGGCTGCTACATGCAGCAACACACACACGGCGGAGATGGCGGAGAGAACACGCTCCGAGGTTTGGTTCAAATGTACCCGTCTCGATGTGGAGAATGCTCGTTGCCAAAAGTGCTCCACATTCACACGGAGGAATGCACCGGGTTCGACTGTCTTTCTAGTAGCTCTGTAGCCCCGTCCACGAGTAACGTTTCCACGTCAGGTGTTATGTATGCTAGCAGCAACACATGGAGTTAACTACATTATACAAACATGGGTTAATGATTAGAGGAAACTGAGTTATTCTTTCTTTTGTTAAAGTTTCAGCTATTCTGTTTACAATTCTGTCATCACATTATTTAATACGATTTGTTAAAACACTGTTGTTTCTTTTGATGTGAAATATTATTTCATCCATCCATCTTCTCCCGCTTATCCGTGGTCGGGTCGCGGGGGTAGCAGTTCCAGCAGAGAGCCCCAAACGTTCTTTTCCCTGGCGACATCAACCAGCTCTGACTGGGGGATCCCAAGGCGCTCCCAGGCCAGCGAAGAGATATAATCCCTCCACCTGGTCCTAGGTCTACCCCTTGGTCTCTTCCCAGCTGGACGTGCCTGGAACACCTCCCTAGGGAGGCGCCCAGGTGGCATCCTAACTAGGTGCCCGAACCACCTCAACTGGCTCCTTTCGATGCGAAGGAGGAGCGGTTCAACTCCGAGTCCCTCCCAGATGACCGAACTTCTCACCTTATCCCTAAGGGAGACGCCAGCCACCCTGCGGAGAAAACCCATCTCGGCCGCTTGTATCCGCGATCTCGTTCTTTCGGTCATGACCCATCCTTCATGACCATAGGTGAGGGTAGGAACGAAAATGGCCCGGTAGACAGAGAGCTTTGCCTTCTGGCTCAGCTCCCTTTTCGTCACAACGGTGCGGTAAAGCGACTGCAGTACCGCTCCCGCTGCTCCGATTCTCCGGCCCATCTCACGCTCCATTGTTCCCTCACTCGAGAACAAGACCCCGAGATACTTGAACTCCTTCACTTGGGGTATGAAATATTATTTCTTTTATTTAAATAAAAAGCAATGTTCATTTTGTTCACAATTTGTTAAGTTAATTTACCTTATTTTTTCTCTCCAAAAGAACCGATAAGAGTACCGTTAAAAGACCGGAACGATAAGCGCTATCGATAAAAGTAGTAGTACCGTTAAAACCTTAACCATACCCATCCCTAGGTGTCTGTTGGTGATATCTGAAGGTGTGACACTATAGGCTCACTCACCTGAGGGCTGGGGTCCCAGAGACAGCAGCTGGGTCTTCCAGGTGGTGAACTCACTGATGTTGGCCTCCACCTGTCCTCTGACGTACTGCAGGCTCTGGGTGATGGTGGGCTGGCTGTCTGCACCCCCCACACCCAGGGTGGGGGTGAACAGCTGCTCCACACTGGGCATCTGAGCCGCCACCTCTGCAAGCTGATCGAAGGCTGAGCAGCATGTGAGAAAGTGTTCCCTGTGGAGAGCAGACACCAGAGTTTAGGGTGACCAGCAGAGGTGGGAAGTAACTAAGTACATTTACTTTCGAGGTACTTTTACTTTACTTGAGTATTTCAATTCTTTGCTACTTTGTACTTCTACTCCACTACAATTCAGAGGTACATGGTGTACTTTTCCTCCACTACATTTATTTAATACCTTTAGTTACTTTATAGATTTAGATGAATGATGTGAAATATAATCAAGTGTTAAATCAGACTTTAGTTCCACCTGGAGTAAATCCACCAGCTACCCTGCAGTATACAAAAGATTTAAAACTAATTCAAACTAAATATATTAGTCTGAAATGGACAAATCTGCATAATGAGTATGTTTACTTTTGACTGACATCTGACACAGCTAATGCGGATCGCCCTCTCTTGCTTTCTAAACAGCCATTGGTTAAAAGCCACGTCAACTGTCAATCAAACCAGGTCATTGTCTCAATTAGTGGCACCCAGGACAAATGATAGAAATGTTCAAGCGGGACCCCTGCTCTCCCTATCAGGTAAACAGCTTGTGTGTTACCGTGAGTGCAGCTGTCTCTCAGAGGTCTGCTGAGCGACCCCGTCCAGCTCCACCTTCAGGGCCTGAGTCTGCTTCAGCATCAGGTTCATGCTCTGGTTCAGCTGGCTCCAGGCGGGGTCTCCTCTCCGCAGCAGACAGCCGGGGGGTTGGCGCTGAGTGGCCAGTGGGGAGGGGCACCTCAGGGTGAGCTGCCTACCGCCCCCCCCCCTCCTCCTTCTGCTGGAGGTCCTCGGGGCAGCACTGCAGCAGCCAGGCCAGCTGCTGTAGGAGGGTGGAGCACTGAGCGGCCAGCGCCTGGCCCCGGCCCACCCACTCTCTGAGGGAGGCCTGGGGGGGCAGGGTGCAGCCGGGGGCCTCACTGTGGCCCTGCAGGTCGGCCTTAAGGCCCTGAACACTGTCTGTCAGCCTCCTGGGAGCGGGATGAGAGAAGAAGGGTTAGAAGGCATAACAGCCAGAAACACATTTTCATTGTTCTATCGGAGGGATAGAACTAAAGTGCAGCTGAGGCTCTTCGAGTACTTTCCTTATAAGATAGGATGAAGAGAAGATCTACTTTATTGATCCCAAATTGTGTAAATGTTTTTGTTAGAGCAGCATGTCAAAACAAGGCATTGCAAATCATTTGAAATAAAAAGAATAGAAAATAAACAAACAAACATTTCAAAATAGAAAAAAAAAAACAGAACTCAAAAGTATACTGTGAAAGATAAATGTGTTACTCTGTACTTCTATTAAATGCAATAATACAAATGTACCTAGTATTATACAACGTTATCAAACTGTGGATGCACGTTAAAAAAGCTCTTACTTGTATAAGTTAAACATGACTAATATAACACTTTGGAACATGCATAATGATTACTTTTACTCTTGATATTTTGATGACCATTTTTTCCGTACTTTTACATAACTCTTTTATTTCAGAACTTCTATAGGGGTTAGTCTTCGGTAAAGGATCTTCCATCACTGTTTATGGCTGCTGTGATGAATACAAACAAGTTTCCCCAATAGGCGCTTTCACACCTGAGTACTTTTCCCAGTATAGTTACGATAGCTCTTGAAATCTTGCGTTCAGACCAAAAAAATCTAAGTACTGGGAACTAAGTACGGCAAAGTACTTGGTGTGAAAGCGCCTAAAGGGATCAATAATTAAAATGTAATAATACTAAAATAATATTGCTTTTCTATTTTTAACCGGATGCCAACATGACATGTGTATAATTATTTTAAATTACTGTATATATTTCCTCTCTAAAATCCTTTTTTTTGCACCAGGTGTGTTTACTCTTTAAACAACAACCTGTTGTCCAACTTCCAAAATCTAGATTCAGCTTTTATTTACACTTAAAGGTGGGGTAGGTCATTCACTTCAGATACACTTGTTATATTCCATGGAATGCTCTTAACATCCCGATAGCAATGAATACCTGAAGTGCTTTGACAATAAATACATAAAAAAACATCATCTGTGGAAGCCGTGGCGCTGTAAAAAGCACGACCAATCATCTGAGCCGGCCCGGCTAAAGATGGCCTACCTGCCTTTTTTCTTTTAAATGTATGGTGAATGGACCTCATTTACACAAAACCAAACCTTATTTCAGAGTTATAAAAGAAACAAATGTTGAATGATTTTACAAACCATACATTTTTTTTTCTTTGTTAGAAAGGAAGGAATGCCAATAAAAGTATTTGTTAAATTGGTTGAAAGTGATACACGGCCTGTGAGAGCGGAGCAGCGGACTGACCTGAGGTGGAGCCACTGCTCCGTCAGCCCGGCCAGGCGCTGCCTCTGCTGGAGGAGCAGCTTGAAGAGGTGAGAGGAGAAGCCTCTGCAGCGGTCGATGTTCCCCACACCCAGCTCCTGCACACACACACACAGAGAGACACAGAGACACTTCAGACCACCGGGCCAAACACACACACAGACACTTCAGACCACCGGGCCAAACACACACACAGACACTTCAGACCACCGGGCCAAACACACACAGAGACACTTCAGACCACCGGGCCAAACACACACACAGAGGCCCCCAATTCCAAACCACGCCCTACCCCTCCGTGGAGTGACACAAGAGGCTCCCTCCTGTCAGACGGAGGGAGTAAATACAGCAGCAAGCTTTGGGACGGCCTCCCCTCTCTCCGGCAGAAACAGGAAATGCCGTAACTGTATGTAACAACGGTTTCAAATCAGCATCTCTTAAACAAAAAGTTTAAATGAATAACTCAAATAAAACTCCAAACATCTTTAAAAAGCTCTTTTAGTTTTAAACCTGATGTTTATAAGCTTCTTAGTTTTTGCAACAGTCTGTAAATATACACAACTTTATAATAAAATGCACACATTTACCTTTTTCTAGACTAAACACAGGTAAAAACATATGAGGTTATCATGAGGTTGTTAACATTTATTTTGTTAGCAGTTTATCAGTGGATGTTTGCTGGAACTGCTTGTAAACAGCGTGTTTCCTGACGGACACACACAGCGTTGAGTCCGTCAGGTAGTGCAGCAGGTGAAGTCAGCACCGATGCAGACTCGCTGTTTGAGGGCTTGATAGCCCACTCCCCCTCCACACTCGTTGCTTTGGAACAGCACGTAATGTGAAGAACGCGCAAACGGAGGGTAGGGTGTAGGGGGTGGATTGGAATTGGGCCAAAGACACTTCAGACCACAGGGCCAAACACACACACTGACCAGATGCAGATGTCGACGCTGGCTCTTCGCCTGTAATCCCTTGCCCTCATCACCTGTTGTATAAAGTAACTATGTACATTTACTCAAGTACTGCACTTAAGTAATTCCATGTGATGCTACTTTGTCCTTCTACCCCACTACAGTTCAAAAGTAAATGGTGCTTTTCCTCCACTACATTTAATACCTTTAGTTACTTCACAGATGTGGATGAATGATGTGAAATCTAATCAAGTGTTGAATCAGACTTTAGTTCCACCTGGAGTAAATCCACAAGCTACCCTGCAGTATACAAAGTCATTCAAACTAGCTGCACCTTTACCAGCTTTGAGAACACTTTCATGATCAGTCATTATAATCAAAACTTGTAACAGAGTATTCCTACACTCTGGTGCTTCTACTTAAGTACAAGATCTGAGTCATGTTTCCACCTCTGCTCATCACTATAACCTGTAGACAGAGGAGTAACTAATACTACAGGTGGTGATGTTATATTGCTATATTGACCTTGGCAGCGTTTTGCAGAGCCGTCAGCATGGCGCTCCTCCTCGCCCAGGAGCGGTAGAAGTACTTCTGACATCCATCCCAGGCTGCCAGCAGCTCTGTGAACAACCTGCAGCACACAGAACAGAGAGCTGTCAGAGAGGTCATTATAGAGGATTTACCTAAGCCTAGTTTATCAGTAACATTAATGATGATAATGGAAACAAATCAATGAAGTTGTACAGGGTAAAAAAGAGAAATTCTGGTGATCCATTTCATCTAATTCATGGATAATGATAAATGGGGTCAAACAGCACAACTAGAGAGGAGCAATATTGCGCTACAACGCGTTACAGTCATCAGATTACATTTGTCTGTAACGCGTTACTGTTGAGAACAGCAGTAATTACATTACAGTTACTGAGCACAAAATGATCTTGTCTCTGCTATGAGCAGAGTCTCAGCAGAGATAAGCAGTCGCAGCAAACATCATGGAGGAAATGCTGCTTGTTTCCACGGTGGAATCGGCGTCTTTCAGAAACATATTGAGCAAGATACAGGTAAGGGGGGGCGTTACAGAGTAATCAAAAGGTAATGTAGCTAGAAGTGTATCTCATTACTTTCAGCAGTGAGTCATTTAGTACATTACTTGGTAATGTGTAATGCATTACTACCCCAACACTGGAGAGGAGTCATGGGGTTGGTGAACTCACTCAGTAGTTTCACTTTGTCCAACAGTGTCTATTCAGAATGTGCTGTCAGTAGTTAACATCAACCACCTAAAGCAGTGTCTCTATAAACTGGGATGTATTTTTGATAAGCCTCATAGTAAGAAAGGTGTAATTACATGCTCTCAGCCTGCTCCTGGTTCCTGACAGCAGACAGAGCGGTGGTCATCTCCAGCGGCTGCATACACAGGTTCCTCTCTGGGTCGGCGGTCCGGTTCCACAGCAGGCCTTTACGGTACGACAGACCTGGATAGGACCGAGAGAGATTTCAGAGTGAGGTTTGAAGAACTTGTTTTCCTTCTGAGACTTATCAGAATCAGAATACCTTTATCCATCTCAGAGGGAAATGTACATTGGTACAGCCAAAGTAAAGAGCCAAACATAGCTTCATCTCAATTAAAAAGCATGCATAAAATATTCAAGATAGAAATAGAAATGACACAAAATACAATTAAAAGATTTCACATCCAGTACCAGTGACAGTGAACAATAAGTGTAGCATGTGTAAGGTAGTGTGATAGCAGCCAGGTGATAGTAGATATATTGCAGTTATTTACAGATGTATTACAGAAGATGAATTCTCTAACTAAGGGACAGCAGCCAGTAATAATAATTATGATGAGGGGTATATATACAGTATATTCCACATAGTAATATTGAACAACAGGGGTGTTATAGTCTTTGTTGTTATGTGTGGTGGTCTACCAGGGTCCCTGATGGCTTCTGATTAATGAGAGTGAACGCACCTATTCCTGCGAGCATCTTGAACAGTTCAGACAGAGCTCTCTGCTTCTGCTGCAGGATGTGCTTCACTTCAGACTTCTGCTTCTCCTTCTCTGCCGTCATGTCCACGGTCAGGTTCTGCAGGTCCCGCAGGTTGCTGATCACCTCACCTGAGGAGGAGAATACAAATAAACTGCATTTACCCTGGGGGGTTTGGGGAGCAATACACCAGCTCTGTGAGGTGAGGACACAAAAACAAACCACATATTTTCCTTACAACAACCTTAATGTCTATCATCAGCTGCAGGTGGAAATCTGAGGTGAAACCCTCCACTTTATCAAGAGGCTTGTGTAACTGATTAACTTGTCTGTCAAAAGACAGATATTCACTGTGTCCAGGTGGGATGGTTACCAGTGAAGCAGTCCAGGTCTTCAGCCAGCTCCGGCGCCGGGTTCTTCTTCTGCAGATGGACGCACAGCTTCTTCATCTTCCGAGTCAGAGCCGGCAGGCGGCCCTGCAGAGAGGAGGCCTCCACACCTTCTTCTGGGCCCTCAAGCTGAAATATACAATCGAACCGAGGTTATTCATTCAACCATGAAGAAACAAAGTAAAAAGCAAGAATCCTGCAGGTGTATTTCCTATCTATAAGATTAAGTGCTACTGCATTAGCTTCACTTAAAGCCAAATCCTTTGTGAGTGCTACGTACAGAAGGTTTTTTTTATTTGCAAAGATGCAGTCAAAACAGTAATTATCACCATAAGTAAGGACGTGATAATAACTGATATAGTAATCATGGTGAACATAACAACAACCTGCAGATCTCGGCCCTTCCCAGGCAGGGTGTTCTTCAGAGCCTTGTGGACCCGATGGAGGGGGGTCTCCTCTGGGTTAGCATCCACACAGTCCAGGCTGGCGCTGCTCCCCTCCTCCACCAGAGAGGGGGCACTCGGCCCACTCAGAGCCGCCTCGAACTTCTTCACAAACTTGAAGAGAGTCCTGAGAGGAGAAGGGAAGACGGGCAGAACAGAGGGGGTGAGAGGGCAGCCATCTTGTGTTCAAGGATTTGAAAAGACAGGGGAAGAACACAGTTCAAATAAAAAAAAGAATTGTAATAATACAAAGTGTATTAAATAATGAGAATCAAATAATACAAATTAAAGAAATAACAAATAATACATACATTTAAAAAGTAAAACAATTTAGTATGTTTATACAGAATACAATTAAATAGTACAAAAATATATACATTTATTACTTCATTATTTATTAATAATACTCAAAAATGAATACACGGCACAATCTTATTGGGGTGATATGTTACCGATGCGTCTTGTCCACTGACTGCTTGATGGACCAGAAACTGACATCGTTCCATTTGGAGATCTTGACAAAGTCCTGAGAGGAACACATCACAGAGAACTTCAGAATGTGCAGCGCTGTGGACTCTGACATGTATGGACTGGGTTTCAGGGCATTGGTATGCAGTGATAAAGGAGACTCATAGAAACCTTGAGCTCCTTCTCGATGGGCTGCCTGAGTGAAGTGATCTTGGTCTGGATGCCGTCAGAGAACTGGCTGTAGTATTTGTGCAGGTTCCACAGTAGACTGGACAATGGCTCTGTAAAATAAACGAGTTAACAGGTCATCCGGATCAATAGTTCAGTCTCCATCATTGCAGGAAGCAACACTCGATATTAGCTGGTTTTGCCCTTTTGCTTTACAAAGGTCAAATGTATTTGAGGATAAACAGGAACTAAAAGAGATGAGATGATCATTTCCTCCGCACTATTGAATTCAGTCCAAATCCAAATCAGTGGTGTTTGAACCAGTATGTATAGTCCCAGTGTAGCAGCTGACCCCGTCTGATCAACGGATCAATACACCACTCCACTAATGATGATGTAATGAGTTGTTCTTTTCTCCATCATCTACTTGCCAGCACTGTGAATCAGGAAATGTTGTAGGACCCCAAAGTTTTATGTTAGAAATGTGTAGTGCGGGTCCCCAGCACATAGAAACTGCCGGATGCTAACTTGCATATGTTGGGAATTTGCACAATTAGCATAATTTGTCTTTGCGCTCCACTGCAATCAAAATATCATGTATATTAGAGTCTTTAGAACATCTTTTCACACTAAGCACCTACAGTATATCTATGCGAGTCAAACAGAATGAAGACTGTTGATTTGCTGCAGTGTTTTCACAGTATAACAATTATTGGTTCAGGACGGGTACAGAGGAGAGGAAGGATCACATTACAGAGTGGATCTGTTCCACATAGAGCCCTGTGTTAGGTCAGACTAAATGAACAGTGCTGGCTGACCTTGTCCCTGCTGCTGGGGGTCCAGCAGCAGTAGGTGGCAGTGGAAGCTGAGCAGCGTGTCCAGGCGGGTGTGGAACTGTCCCAGGGTGGAGCCCTCCATGAAGGCCTGGAGGGTAGAGCACACCGAGGACAGGGAGAGGCGCTCCACCTCCTCCTCACCTAGAGCCAGGAAGAAAAACATTTTTTTCTGGTTATACAGACAATGGGAGGAAGTATGTATTTCGTTTTGCCTTTAAATACATACTGATGAGTCAAGTTGTGAGCCACCTACTGGTTAATGAATGTCATTCTTCATTGCTATTTGTCACAGTTACAGAGACATAACCCTAACACTTGGTTAAGCAGGTAAGAAGTACTTAGCTACTTTTCTCATAAAAAACATAGTTTTAGTTTGATATATTTCCTAAAGTCCCCCCATGAAAGCACATTAGAAAGGACATTTTAACTCGGCCGATTACAACATGTGTTGATGGTTTCAAAATAAATGTCATCTGAATATTTGTGTCATGGGAGCCATGATGTGTTACCTTTCTCAGCATCCTGCTTCTGCTCCTCCAGGTACCTCTCTACCAGCTGGTAGATGGAGAACCAGTGTTTGGTGGATCTCTCAGTGTGCCGCTTCAAAGCGTTGTCCAGACTGCTCGACCAGAAACTACACGTAGCACAGGAGAGGACACGTTCACATTCTACACACAGGAACAGGAAACAGCTTGTTCTGATGCTATACTCTGGTAGAGGAAAACACCGCTAGCTGAGGATTCCAGTCCAGTTTGAATCTTCCTAATGCAGTACCTAAAAGCACCTTAAACGAGTTGACAGTATGTCTTGATTCGCTGAAAATGGGATGCTGCCTACCCTCACACTAAGCATGAATATGTATGTAACAAGTAGATGTAGCTATGACTTCGACTCATTGGAAATATTTTAATAACTTTTGATCCTCAAGATTTTAAGCAGGTGCTGACCAAATCCTAAGCTAATGTGCCTACCAACATTCATACATCAAGCACAAACCCACAGCAGGGCCTGCCTTTAAGGTGGTGCCGTTGAGCCATTTGACATCGCCCATGCGGAATACCCAGATTTTACTTACATTTTCTCCATGTGTGAATTTTGTGCAACATTGAATCAAATTTTGGAGCATGTTTTAGGTCCGTAAAACCGTGTTTCATCTCCGAGACTACGAATATTTCTTAGTTTAAATATTGTCCCTTTTGTATCTCGCACCCTAATCAGATGCAGGCTTATTGAAACCCTCTGTGTCTCACCTGAGCTCCAGTTTGCGCCACTGGATGATGAGCTGGGTGACTGCTTCTAGTTCCTTACGCAGAGAGACTGAGCGGCTGGCGTTATTCTCCCAGTCCTGAGGAGAGCACATAACACGGAGCTCACTTCAGTGCAACACATTTACATTTCAGAAAGTACAACTATCACATTTGGACCTGCTATTGATGGCATCTATTAAAAAGGTCACAGATTAATTTTTTTGTTGATTAGCTGTGTCAACACTAGGTTGAACTCCCGATGGAATCATGCATGGCACATGAGCGCACCTGAGCTTTACTGAGCAGGATCTCCAGACCGTTGAGGAACTTGGCCAATGGGCTGGCCAGAGTGAAGGTCTGGATCCTCTCTATCACCACCGACAGCTGAGGACAACACACAGGGATACACATCATGTGATCTGAGAGCAACACATACCAGGCTCCATAACTGTTCAATGACATGGGACTGTTTTCTTCTAGTCTGCCTAAAAACAATCAAATGTAAAACTCCTAGGTGGACAATGTGGGTTGTTATAGTTACAGATTTTTTATTTGAGCATAAAACAACTCATCACCAACACAACAAAATTAATTAATTTGGCTTTAAAGCAAGATACTAGAGTTTTATCTAATCAATATCCAAGACCCAAAGTGTTCATGGTCAGTTTGTGAGATATCGACTGATGGATATTTCTTTTTATCTCCGTTATGCTCTCTGTAGATACAGATACTCTTGCTACTTTAAATCCAGGCTGAAGACTTTCCTTTATGCCGCTGCTTTTAAACTGTTCATATCTCACACTGCTCTGTGAATTGTATTCATGTATTTTATATATTATCTTGTTTTACGTATATTGTACTCTTTGCTTTTTAATGACTGTTATAAATACCATTGTATAATGTGTTTCCACTGCACATTTCTTAATGCTCTTAATGTCTTTCATCTCTGTAAAGCACTTTGCGTAGTGTGGAAAGTTGCTATATATATTTTCCTTGCCTAGGAAAAGACACAGGCCCTAATTGTTGTACTTATCAACAGCAGCGCTGGCTTCCTTCCTTGCGTTAACAACTGCTAAATGATTGAAAGGGAGCTGACCTGTACGAGAGCGGGGTGCTCGGGCCAGTCCTCCAGCCTCTGCTTCACCGCCACACCCAGCTGCAGCAGGACAGGGAGACACAGACGGGCCTCGCTCATGTTGGGCTGCTGGTAGAAGTCGTAGGCTCCCTCTGAGGTGACTGACAGGCCATCGGGGCCCCCGGAGCCCTGCACTGTGTTCTGCAGGAGGGCAGACAGCAGCAGCTCACTGCCTGTGAGCTGCTGGTCGATCTCAGCATCTGCAGGGGACACAGAGGAACACATTTAACAACAACACTCAAGAGAGTCTGCGTTGTTGCTATTTGAGTGACAGTAAACACTGACCAATCAGATGATAGAAGCGGGACATCATAGGGGAAGCAATCTGGTAGGAGGAGACCAAGGCTATGATGTGTTCTCTGCTGTGATTGGCTGGTGTTGTGCCCTTGTACCACAGTGATCGGGCGTGTCCCAGAGAGAGGCGCTGATGGATCTTCAGCACTGTGTTCATGGCAGCCACAGACAGGAAGCTGCCCTCACTGGACTCCTCCTGGACTCCCTCCTCCTCCTCCTGACGCTCTGAGTCTGATGGACCCTCCAGACTCGGCAGGGCCATGATGTCTGCAAAGTCCTGAAAAAGTGTGGGATGAGACCTTTAAATATTTGAACATTGTTTTTTCGAGTTATAATGTCTCTCTTTGGTGTCATCTAATTTCTCTGCTGCACTAACAAACACAGGGTGGTGACATTTCAAGAGGGTAAATCTTTATGATATTGATAACCGTATCCACCTTATTACCAGGTGAAGTTACGACCTGTAGAAACGTACATCTTATACAAATGTTTAATGTGAAATGTGTTGAACAGTCTGATACTTTCTTCCGACAGTACATTCTAAGCATGAGAGTGAAAATCATCAGCATGTTTTTTCAGATTATCATCTTTGTGAGTTGAAATGAGCATTTTAGAATTGTACTTATTCTTCTTCATGAAGGAGGTTATTACTGAGACATCACATTTCAGTTATTTATTATGATTCATGTTGGCAGGGAAACTGGAACAGTCTGTTGTAGCCTCACTAAGATCAGTGTCTAACAGACCTCATGTTTCTCCTCAGGACAGAGTGAATACCTTGTTGAACTGAGGGAACTGCTGTTTGAAGTCTCTCTCCTCCTGCTCGTCCTCAGTCAGTCCTGATCCGTGCAGTCGGCTGCGGTTACGATACAGACTGGCCTCCATCTGCTCCTTCTCCCTCTTTAGTCTCTCCTGTTCGTCCCACTCGTTCACCAGAGCCTGCGGAGCATCTTGTTACAGTCAACCATGCATTCATTTAGAACATTTGAGAAATATTGCGATTCTTGTTGGATAGATTCAAACTTGAACCATTTCTGGATGTGTGTGTAAACTGGAGCTCTGACCTGACAGATGTGTCTGAAGAGGCTGCGGGACTCGGAGCTGAACTCCCCGGTGGACAGGGTGTGGCACTGCACGTACAGCAGAGCATTCAGAAGCAGCGTGGAGGACCGGGGCACCACCTGCTCAGAGTCCTGCTGCGGGAGGAGTTTCCCCACGCAGCGCAGGATGTCCATGCAGGATCTGGAGCAGAGGAAGTCGGCCCGGGCCAGGTAGGAGGGCAGGCTGGGGGACAGGGAGGGGAAGGCCAGCAGGCAGGACACCAGCTTAGGCAGACCGGGAACAGGCGTGAGCGAGGCGGCCACCTGGGAGGCCACCAGCTTCATCCCGTGACGGAGCTGCAGGATGCCGGTCCGCAGCGGCGCCACCACGTCGGGGTACAGGGGGTAATCCTCCTGCAGCCTCTGGCAGAAGCGCTGCTGGGAGTTCTGCCACACAGCCTCCTCCTTCAGCAGGCCCTGGATGGCTGACCTGGACTTGGAGGAGGAGGGGGGGCCCTGCAGAGCCTTCAGCAGACGGGACAGCAGCTCCTTCACGGCTGACGTCTGGCCGATGCTGCAGAGGTAGTGCTGCAGCTCTTGGAAGAGGCGGCCGTACTGCGGGTCATGAGGGCGGCAGGCCTGCTTCCTGGAGAGCTCCGCGATCTGCTCCTTCACCTGCTGCATTCGGATCCACAGGTACCTGCAACAACAAGCAACACAAGGGGATGAAGGACTATCCAGAAATCTAATATCAGCAACCAGGCCCGACCTCAGCCTCTGGTTGACTTGGTTGACTTGTCATTTTACACAGGAGAACTAGTGGCTGGCTCTGACCTGATGCGAGGGTGCTGGAAGCCGTCAGTAGTGCTGCTCTCCCCCAGCTCCGCTCCGGTCATCAGCTGAGAGGACAGGCTGCGGCCCCTCCACTCCTCCTGCAGCACAGCCAGCTGCAAAAATAACATTATGATGACAACTTTCATTGAATTATTCGTTTTATATAAATTAGTAGCATCTGGTGTAATTACTAGGGGTGTTGAAAATAATCGTTTCTACGATGCATTGCGATGCGGACGTGGACGATTCGGTCTCGATGCAGTGACGGAAGATAATCGGTTATAGCGTTGTAACGTTGCTTCCTGATTTTCCGGCCACAGCTTTACTATAACGTTTTTTTTCTCTGTCACTTTAATATCAAATCGGTCGGTGACGCAGAGATCAGAGAACAGACGTGACAGCGGCACAGCAACACCAAACACGGAGCAGTCTGCTTTATCCACCAACACAAGAACACCAGTCCAGAACCAACAGCAGAAGGACACGCTCTGAATCACTCCGTGTCGCTGCAGCACAGGGATTTATGTTTTTCAAAAATAATCGCGTTACAATCATGTCAGGTTTTTGGTGGATTTAATTAAGTCTTGGATTGCAAAGTATGAATGTCCTCTAGCAATTTTCAGACGATATATACGTGTGTAAAGTTTGTGAAGGCAGGAGGAAAAAAGCTTCCGCGATCACCGTCTCCTCCGTTCCTCTAAGCCCCGCCCCCTCCCTGAAAATAATGAGTGACAGGCTGATAGTGACCCGATAGAAACTTTATTATTCACTTAATCACTGAGATATAATGAAGCTAACTTAATCTCATACATTCATGGGATTTATGTAACAGTAACGGAGCGTCCACACAGCAGCGTGCGTTGGCGCTTGGCGGTGGGCGTATCTGAAGCGTGGGGATTTTTTGCGAGCAACGCGACCAACAACCAATCACATGAATCTCCCGTCCCCGACATACAAAGCAATAGCAATGTTAAAACGAAGTAAACTGGATATAAAATCCCCAAACAGGCGAAAACCTACCAGTTTCACCCACTGTCTCTGCCACCTCCTTCCATGCCTCGCTCCTCCGGTTTGTATCCCGGTAGATGAACAGAGACTGATCATACAGCACCGGGTGATTCACTGCCGCTACAATGAATTTTCCCTCCATTTTTTTGAATATGAGGAAATGACCTGCGTAGTCTCTCCCAGCATACACGCGGTTTGATTGGCTAGCGCTTGTACTGGCAGATTTGCATAAACGGGATTTCATTGGCTGACGCCTCCGTCGAGGCGTCAAAAGTTGAACATTGCTCAACTTTTGACGCCAGCTACGCCAGCAACGCTCCACGTCGCTTCCCAAAATGCAGTTCGGCTAAAAGTGACGTCACCCTATTCAAAGTGAATGGGCAGAAGCGTTGGAAGCTTCAACGCACGCCGCTGTGTGGACGGGCCGTAAGACAGAGAATGTAAGTGTGCACCCACATGCAGTATTTTAGTTGTTATATGCTGTTGTAAATACTCCTGTTGTCTGCTGTGTTCAGACTCAAGTCCTGTGTGTGATGCCACATTCAGGACATTCAGTGTCCTTTCTTTAACAGAAGACCGTTGCTAGAAGCTGCAGCTAGACTGCAGAAGCATTCTTTTTTTGTTTTTGAGGATGGAACAACTTCACACACAGATATAAGGAGGCTAGACCTATACAATTCATTTATTTTGGTTTATAAATGAATGTCAAGACATTTATGTTATTGATTTCTGAAGCACTTTCTAAATAATAAAAAGAGAGTTCATATGTATTTACTGCATGTATGCATTGATGAAAAATAAGCCATGTGCAGTAATATAGAACATTGAGGATGCAACGCATTGGTATGAATCGTGATGCATCGTGATATCGAATTGAATCGAAGACAGGGTAATTGATCGTGAGACCAGTGAAGATGCACAGCCCTAGTAATTACGTGCTGCCAAAACATTGAAATGGTATTCAAGATATAGAACCCTGACTACAATTTTACATATATACCAGTATGTGATAATCCATCAAATGTTATTCCTCTGATCTTAAACATGGTGGAAATAATTATTCTTTTTTTTGACTGACAAGTTTGACAATACATAATAAAAAAAAGATAAGTAATGAATTGGAATTAGCATTTTTACCTCAATCTTGGTTACACCTTATAAGACTATCTGTTGTATAGGGTTAGGGTGAATAACATTTTTCAATATTTAAAAAATGTAAAAAATTGTTTTCATTAAATAACATTTGATAAAAACCATCAGTTGCTCACCTCCTGCTGGGCGTAGTTGAGTTTGTAGGCCCTCTTCACAGCCGGGTCAAAGATGGTCTGTGGGGTCCAGGCTTTGATCTGCAGCAGGCCCATGTTGACCCAGAACACTCCGGACTGGGCGGGCTGGTTGGAGCCTTGGACCTTGCTCTGGACGTACTGCTGAAGGCAGGCGCTGCAGGCCTCCAGCAGGCCGTCAGGGAGCACGTTGGGGGGCAGGAAGTCCCTGAAGACGGTCTGGATCTCCTGGGCTGCTATCAGAGGGTCCAAGTCCTCCACCAGGCTCTCGCAGCTCTCCATGAAGCCCTCCTGCAGGCTGGGGGGCAGCAGGTCCGCCATGCTCTGCAGCTGGCGGCGCAGAACAGCCCCCTGGAGACGGAAGTCTGTGCCCCTGGAGAGGACGGAGGGTTAAAGCCCCAAGATGATAAATGCTACACTGTAAAAACCAGAAATCTATCCAAGTATTGTCTATTATCAGAATATGTCTTTACACTTGATGTGAGACATAATAATGTACGAAGTAACAATGCAGTGAGATAGAGGGACTTTTTAGACAATGCTTCTTAAGTATCTTGTTAAGTTAAAGACTCTTATTTTGAGTTGGATCTCAGGTGAAGTTTTTATACAAGGTTTTTAAGCTGCTGTGGTATTTGTAAAAGATGGATCATCTTGTTTCAATAAATGAATCTTAATTGATTATAGAAACCACATTTTTATTGGAAATCCACCAACTAAGATCAGAAAACAGAACACTGTTGAGCATTTCTGGCTTATTTTGAAACAACATTTCCTGATTCATGTCTAGGGCTGCCAAACGATTACAATTTTTAATCAAATTAATCACAGCTTAAAAATTAATTAATCATGATTAATCACCATTCGAACTATGTCCAAAATATGCCATTTATTTATGTATATTGTTGTGGGAATGGAAAGAAGGCGGATATATCCATTTAACATACAGTATCTATGTTTATTATAACATTGTTCTGTGTGTCAAAATGAAAGACAGCCCACACACCTATCAATCATCAAACCGTGGGGTCTTAATTCATTACGTGTTGATTTCTATCAACGGGGGAGTACTTCAGGAAAGTCGACGGGGGGGAGGGGGGGGGGGGGGGGGGAGTCTCTCAGCTGTTTTAGCGCAGTTCTCCAGTGAAGGGGGGGGGAGTTTCCCTCCGCAGCCAGTTGGCGTAATTTTGGCACAATTCTGTTGTACAGACCGACGTTAACAGCAGCCCTGTCTGTGCACACGGAGACCGACTCTGTCGTCCGGTGATCTAACCGCCTTCTGGAAAAGCTTCACAAGTACGTCGGTACGCAAATGCGCTTTGTGACACAAGTGACGGTACGCATTTCAGATTACACACATAACCTGCGTACCAGTTATGTGTTACCTGTACTACAGCAAAAGTATTCTCCGTCGGGACTTCCTGCAACAACACCACGCCGTTATCAAAGATGTTCTGTTGAGAAGACGATCACTACGTGACAAAAGTTTTCAAAACCATGGCTACTGAAATCAATCTTACTAACTGCTGTCTGTGCAATTTACTCCGCGAGTTGGCAGACTTTATTTTGCTTACTTTAACATCATTTTTCATGGTGGGGCTAAGCCATTTCTTGGTATGGGTGTAGCCTACCCCAGCCATACCCTGGCGCTGCCACTGGTGGCACGTACGGGGCGGGCCATTCTGCACATGCGTTAAATGCGTTAAATATTTTAACGCAATTAATTCAAAAAATTAATTACCGCCGTTAACGCGATAATTTTGACAGCACTAAAATATAGTTAAAAATAATCTAAATATCCCATCTTATTTCAAGAGATCTTACCAAGCTAATTTTCACAGATTTCTTTACTTATTACAAGAGAAAAAAACACATTTCATAATTTTTTACTTCTTTTTGAGCAGCATTGGAGAACATTAAAACGTGTTTGACCTACCTGAACTCAGCCAGAGCAGGGATGGCCATGTTGTCCCACAGCACAGCAGACACGTCCTGCAGCTGCTGGATCCTCTCCTTCCACTCCCCCAGGGTGACATGGGACAGGGAGAGGAGGGCTGCTCCTGACGGTTCCCATGCACCTCCAGTCTCACTGCTGCAGAGAACTCCCAGCATGCAATAGGACCACACAGCTTTACTCAGCAAGGCTGGTCCCTGAAAACAACATGGCCATGTGTTACTCTTCAAGAAATCCCTTAATCATAGTATATACAGTAACAGCAGCATGAGATGTTAGGTCAGTACCATGTTCTTTGCTCCGTGCTGCAGCTTTGGAGCTGTCTTGGTCTTGGGGCTCAGTGGGTCCCATTTCAGCCAGAGGTCTGGGTCAGAGGTCACACTGCTGGTCCACAGAGCGCCCAGAGCCTCTGACAGCAGCTCACACCAAACAAACTGCAGCTCTTCAGCCGGCTGGAGAGAAGAAGGAGGAATCATGAGCAACATTCTGTGGGTTTGGAGCCTAAGGAAATTCTTTCTTGTTTTCCGTATATATTTTGTAATTTAATTTAATAGTACATAGGGGAGGTCTGACAGGAAACCAAGAGGGAGAATGGGGCATCCACAGCAGTGAAGCTGTGATTACAAGGTGGGTCTCCAGGACCCTACGGAATAGTTATTCATCTGAAGTTTGGATCATGTTTGTATATTTTAGTGTGGCAATTATTGATTAAGTCAAATTGGAATTGAGTTTGGGACATTACTTAATACAATTCTACATGTGTTTTTTTTGTTGATTATTTGGTTCCTGTTTTTCCTGATACTTAAAGATCTCCTCCAGACATCCTTTAAGACATGGAACAATTTTCAGTGACTGATGTTTTCAGTAAAGTAACATTAAGCAACACACATATTTTGGAGGGGCAATTTCCATTTCGTAACTGACAACAAGAAGATGGGATAACTTCTTTTTTTTGTATCGAATATTATCATCCTGAATCGATCCACAACTTCAAAATAATAATGAATATTGTATTTATATTAAAAATGAATGACTGATTGTTTGTTTTTTTACAAATAATCTAGATAATTGTAATGATGGAAAGTTATCCTGTAGATGAGAGTAACACGTACGTCACTTCCGGGCGAAAATTACGGCCCCGCCCACTTTTGGGGGAAAAACAATCAGAATCTTTTTTAAACCGTGGATTTTTGGATCTTCAAAGCGCCCGATTACGATGGCCAGACAGGCAAACAATTACATTCAATCATTTGAAATCGACATTCAGTCTCGATCTATGGTTAAATTAAAATCAGTAGGCGAGGCTGTAATTTCTCCAGCTGTTACTCTCATGAGCGAGGCGGAACATAATAGTTTTATCATGCCAAAAAGCTGCTGTGTCGTTTATTGCACCTCAAACATTAAAACAAATCCAGAGTTACGTGTTTCTGTACTTCCTCTAAGAAGAAAGGACAGTAACAGAAGATCTCTGTGGCTTCAGGCTTGATCGCCGTTCAAATGACAGCGTTGGTTTCCCCCAAAAGTGGGCGGAGCAGTACTTTTTGCCCGGAAGTGACGCATTTGTTACTATAAACAAAGTCAGAGTTGTGTCAAGCATGAAATCAACAGCCTACAGAATCAATATTGAATTGGAAATTGTTTTGAAAAAAGAATCAATTTTGAATGCAATCGTGACCCTAGAAATGAAAATGGAATGGTGAAAATGAAAGCTCACTGCACTGACCCTGTCGCTGCTGAGCAGGAACCACAGAGGCTGCAGCTGGCTCACGTTCATGGGGGTGGATTGCAGGCAGTAGCGCAGATGTCTGGAGAGCTCTCTGCGTAGGCTGGCCTCCGCCTCCTGGTCACTGCAAGCATCAGGAACACGTCAGCACACACATCTAAGTTCATTTATATAGCCCAATATCACAAAACACTCAGTGGGCTTTACAGATCAAAACAGTGCTAAAAGGAAAAGAAAATGACAGGAAAATAATGAAAAGACAATGTAGAGTGTAAAATAAAATATTAAATAAAACAAGATAAAATACAGACAATAAAAAGACAATACAATAAAATATCATAAAATATAGGACCCAGGAGGACAAACATAGGGTATCTAAAAACCAGCTCTAAATATAGGCTTCATTCAAAATGAATGTCTTCAGTGCACTCAACATTTTGGAGACTGTCTGTCTCCCTGATAAAAACAGGAAGTAGGTTCCAGAGAAAGGGAGCCTGGCAGCTGAACACTCCGACTCCGGATCTAGTTCATCTTTGCCAATATTTGTTACTGTGGAGCTGGAGGCCAAGATGATACCATCGACAGCAAATATGTAATTTGATATTTCATTCCGAATATGTTTGGGGTCCTGTATAATAACCTTGATTTTCTCAGAGTTGAATAATACAAAAGAATCAAATCACAGCCTCTTAACGGTTTCTATATCAGTTTGCTTTGAGGAGGAATGCAGTTACCCAGGAGCCAGAGCCAGGTGCAGCAGGTCGGTGCTGAGGCGCAGCTGGTTGAGGATCGCCAGTCCCTCCATCAGGGGCCACAGCTGGGCCCTGCGGCTCAGCTGCTGCAGCTCTTCCCTGGCCAGGTGCACCCCCTCCTCAGGCTCCTCCCCCTCAGGCAGGGAGCACACCTCCAGCAGCCCTTTGGAGGTCATGTGACGCTGCTGCTGCTCCACACTCGACACCAACCTTTCCAACACTCCTGAAGAGAAAATAAAGTATAGCACTCACATACTGACCCTTTAATATCAGAGTATAGGACTAATGTACTGACCCTTTAATATCAGAGTATAGCACTAACGTACTGACCCTTTAATATCAGAGTATAGCACTAATGTACTGACCCTTTAATATCAGAGTATAGCACTCACATACTGACCCTTTAATATCAGAGTATAGGACTAACGTACTGACCCTTTAATATCAGCGTATAGCACTAATGTACTGACCCTTTAATATCAGAGTATAGGACTAATGTACTGACCCTTTAATATCAGAGTATAGGACTAACGTACTGACCCTTTAATATCAGAGTATAACACTCACATACTGACCCTTTAATATCAGAGTATAGGACTAACGTACTGACCCTTTAATATCAGAGTATAACACTCACATACTGACCCTTTAATATCAGAGTATAGGACTAATGTACTGACCCTTTAATATCAGAGTATAGGACTAATGTACTGACCCTTTAATATCAGAGTATAGGACTAATGTACTGACCCTTTAATATCAGAGTATAGGACTAATGTACTGACCCTTTAATATCAGAGTATAGCACTCACACACTGACCCTTTAATATCAGAGTATAGCACTCACACACTGACCCTTTAATATCAGAGTATAGCACTAATGTACTGACCCTTTAATATCAGAGTATAGGACTAATGTACTGACCCTTTAATATCAGAGTATAGCACTCACACACTGACCCTTTAATATCAGAGTATAGGACTAATGTACTGACCCTTTAATATCAGAGTATAGCACTCACACACTGACCCTTTAATATCAGAGTATAGGACTAACGTACTGACCCTTTAATATCAGAGTATAGCACTAATGTACTGACCCTTTAATATCAGAGTATAGCACTAATGTACTGACCCTTTAATATCAGAGTATAGCACTCACACACTGACCCTTTAATATCAGAGTATAGCACTAACGTACTGACCCTTTAATATCAGAGTATAGCACTAATGTACTGACCCTTTAATATCAGAGTATAGGACTAATGTACTGACCCTTTAATATCAGAGTATAGCACTCACACACTGACCCTTTAATATCAGAGTATAGCACTAACGTACTGACCCTTTAATATCAGAGTATAGGACTAATGTACTGACCCTTTAATATCAGAGTATAGCACTCACACACTGACCCTTTAATATCAGCGTATAGCACTAATGTACTGACCCTTTAATATCAGAGTATAGGACTAATGTACTGACCCTTTAATATCAGAGTATAGGACTAATGTACTGACCCTTTAATATCAGAGTATAGCACTAATGTACTGACCCTTTAATATCAGAGTATAGGACTAATGTACTGACCCTTTAATATCAGAGTATAGCACTCACACACTGACCCTTTAATATCAGAGTATAGCACTCACACACTGACCCTTTAATATCAGAGTATAGCACTAACGTACTGACCCTTTAATATCAGAGTATAGCACTCACACACTGACCCTTTAATATCAGCGTATAGCACTAATGTACTGACCCTTTAATATCAGAGTATAGCACTAATGTACTGACCCTTTAATATCAGAGTATAGCACTAATGTACTGACCCTTTAATATCAGAGTATAACACTAACGTACTGACCCTTTAATATCAGAGTATAGGACTAATGTACTGACCCTTTAATATCAGAGTATAGCACTAATGTACTGACCCTTTAATATCAGAGTATAGGACTAATGTACTGACCCTTTAATATCAGCGTATAGCACTCACACACTGACCCTTTAATATCAGAGTATAGCACTAACGTACTGACCCTTTAATATCAGAGTATAGCACTAATGTACTGACCCTTTAATATCAGAGTATAGCACTCACACACTGACCCTTTAATATCAGCGTATAGCACTAATGTACTGACCCTTTAATATCAGAGTATAGGACTAATGTACTGACCCTTTAATATCAGCGTATAGCACTCACACACTGACCCTTTAATATCAGAGTATAGCACTCACACACTGACCCTTTAATATCAGAGTATAGCACTCACACACTGACCCTTTAATATCAGAGTATAGCACTAACGTACTGACCCTTTAATATCAGAGTATAGCACTCACACACTGACCCTTTAATATCAGAGTATAGCACTCACACACTGACCCTTTAATATCAGAGTATAGCACTCACACACTGACCCTTTAATATCAGAGTATAGCACTCACACACTGACCCTTTAATATCAGAGTATAGCACTCACACACTGACCCTTTAATATCAGCGTATAGCACTAATGTACTGACCCTTTAATATCAGAGTATAGGACTAATGTACTGACCCTTTAATATCAGAGTATAGCACTAATGTACTGACCCTTTAATATCAGAGTATAGCACTCACACACTGACCCTTTAATATCAGCGTATAGCACTAATGTACTGACCCTTTAATATCAGAGTATAGGACTAATGTACTGACCCTTTAATATCAGAGTATAGCACTAATGTACTGACCCTTTAATATCAGAGTATAGCACTCACACACTGACCCTTTAATATCAGAGTATAGCACTCACACACTGACCCTTTAATATCAGCGTATAGCACTAATGTACTGACCCTTTAATATCAGAGTATAGGACTAATGTACTGACCCTTTAATATCAGAGTATAGCACTAACGTACTGACCCTTTAATATCAGAGTATAGCACTCACACACTGACCCTTTAATATCAGCGTATAGCACTAATGTACTGACCCTTTAATATCAGAGTATAGCACTAATGTACTGACCCTTTAATATCAGAGTATAGCACTAATGTACTGACCCTTTAATATCAGAGTATAACACTAACGTACTGACCCTTTAATATCAGAGTATAGGACTAATGTACTGACCCTTTAATATCAGAGTATAGGACTAATGTACTGACCCTTTAATATCAGCGTATAGCACTAACGTACTGACCCTTTAATATCAGAGTATAGCACTAATGTACTGACCCTTTAATATCAGAGTATAGCACTAATGTACTGACCCTTTAATATCAGCGTATAGCACTCACACACTGACCCTTTAATATCAGAGTATAGCACTAACGTACTGACCCTTTAATATCAGCGTATAGCACTAATGTACTGACCCTTTAATATCAGAGTATAGCACTAACGTACTGACCCTTTAATATCAGAGTATAGCACTAATGTACTGACCCTTTAATATCAGCGTATAGCACTAATGTACTGACCCTTTAATATCAGAGTATAGGACTAATGTACTGACCCTTTAATATCAGCGTATAGCACTCACACACTGACCCTTTAATATCAGAGTATAGCACTCACACACTGACCCTTTAATATCAGAGTATAGCACTCACACACTGACCCTTTAATATCAGAGTATAGCACTAACGTACTGACCCTTTAATATCAGAGTATAGCACTCACACACTGACCCTTTAATATCAGCGTATAGCACTAATGTACTGACCCTTTAATATCAGAGTATAGCACTAATGTACTGACCCTTTAATATCAGAGTATAGCACTAATGTACTGACCCTTTAATATCAGAGTATAGCACTCACACACTGACCCTTTAATATCAGAGTATAGCACTCACACACTGACCCTTTAATATCAGAGTATAGCACTCACACACTGACCCTTTAATATCAGAGTATAGCACTAACGTACTGACCCTTTAATATCAGAGTATAGCACTAATGTACTGACCCTTTAATATCAGAGTATAGCACTAATGTACTGACCCTTTAATATCAGAGTATAGCACTAATGCACTGACCCTTTAATATCAGAGTATAACACTAACGTACTGACCCTTTAATATCAGAGTATAGCACTAATGTACTGACCCTTTAATATCAGAGTATAACACTCACACACTGACCCTTTAATATCAGCGTATAGCACTAACGTACTGACCCTTTAATATCAGCGTATAGCACTAATGTACTGACCCTTTAATATCAGCGTATAGCACTAATGTACTGACCCTTTAATATCAGAGTATAGCACTCACACACTGACCCTTTAATATCAGAGTATAGCACTAATGTACTGACCCTTTAATATCAGAGTATAGCACTAATGTACTGACCCTTTAATATCAGAGTATAACACTCACACACTGACCCTTTAATATCAGAGTATAGCACTAATGTACTGACCCTTTAATATCAGAGTATAGCACTAATGTACTGACCCTTTAATATCAAACACTAGTTTCTATTAGACGTAGAGGAAGAAGACAACATGTTCTCTGCCCCATACGTTTTTGATTCACAATGCAATGTTTAGTACACCCCCAAAATATAACCGTGCTGGAAAGGAGAAACAACGTTAGCATTATTTATGAGTTATTGGAGCCTGAACAGCAGTGGGGCTAGAGAGGTTATGTTTTTTTCTGAGGGTGGTTCAATACGACAAAATTAATTTATCCTGATTGGAGCATGCAAACTTAATAGCCATTAGATAATGGCTTATCATTGTCAGTTTTTACCAACTCACACAAAAAGTAAATACAACTTTCCGTATAGTTTTAGTTTTGCCGTTGACATCCATACACAAAATGTCTAATATGTCATCAGCTCATATTAGTAATTGTCATTTCTAAAAGTCTAAGTGACCTTAAACTTTGTCCACCAGTTCTAATTAGTTCATCTTCATCAGGTCTAGGTGTCCAGAAAAGGTATTTGTAGCCCAGGCTCACCAGACTTGTGTGGGTCCAGCTGGTTGTTGGCCAGCAGCACCAGCCCACAGGCCTCCAGCAGACTCTCCTTGAGGTCCAGCCCCAGCCCGGCGCCGTGCAATCGGACCAGCTCCTGCCTCCAGGGCGCGATGCTGTCGTCCAGCCTCAGGTCGCTCACATCCAGGGCTTTACTCAGGAACCTGAGCCGGGACGCACACTCTGCCACCGACTCCAGCTGCAGCAGGACATGGACACGGTTAGAGGAGTCACAAACACATTACTGAAATGGCTTTTAATCAGAGGTGGGAGAAGTATTCAGATCTTGTACTTTAGTAGAAGTGTAGAAAGACTCTGTTACAGTAAAAGTCCTGCATTCAAAATGTTCCTCAAGTGAAAGTAGAAAAGTATTCTCATCAAAATATAGTGAAAGTAGCGACAGTAAAAGTAGTCCTTGTGCAGATTGGTCCATTTCAGAATTAATAATATATATGATATGTTTTATAATGATTGATCATGAAAGTGTTCTCAAAACTGGTAAAGGTGCAGCTACTTTGAATGACTTTGTATACTGCAGGGTAGCTGGTGGATTTACTCCAGGTGGAACTAAAGTCTGATTTAACACTTGATTATATTTCACATCATTCATCCACATCTGTGAAGTAACTAAAGGGATTAGATACATGTAGTGGAGTAGAAGTACACAAATTAAAACTGAATTGTAGTGCAGTAGAGGTACAAAGTAGCATAAATGGAAATATTCAAGCAAAGTCCCTTAAAATTGTACTTGAGTACAGTATCTTAAGTTAATGTACTTAGTTTCTTTAGACCACTGCTTTTAAAACACTTTCTTCTTTTAAGTTGGATATAGCAAAGATAGCAGAGACGATAGGAATGACAGTAAACATGAAAACAGCTGCTGATCAGGAGTCAGTTCTAACAGTAGAACTGATGGAGTGTCAGACCTTGAATGGCAGAGGTTTTCCTAAAGTTTTCTGCACGCCCTTCAGAGCCGTGGCCACAGACAGCGGGGTGGAGAGGACCGTCTGGATGGCTGCTGACACGGCCTGGAGCTCCTGCTGACATCTGAGGACACAACAGTCAGATGTGAGGGGGTGGAACATATTTCTGCAGAATCTTATATTTACTGGATAAGTAGGAGATTAATTACATTGCATTCAAGATTTCAACAACAACCAAAAATGAACTTGCTCCAAAAAAGTATTCGAAGAGATAATAGCAAATAATGAACATACATACAAAATACAAATAAAAAAGATATACGGGAAAAATGTTAATGAATATGGTTGCCATTACATTTCATCCTCACACATGCTTGTAAAACATCAAATAAATAAAGACAACCCCCCCCCCCCTCAACAATATGGGTGCATCGATACAACTCCTAAATTTCACATATATAAATATAATCATATACACACTAAAAGGCAATTTTTCTGCACAGTAGTACATTTTGCTGATCATACTTTGTACTTTTATTTAAGTAAGATGTTGTCTTCAACACAAGAAAGATATCATTAGAAAACCAAGCATCTTCCAGTCATACGCAATATTACCAGCATACAATCTCTGTAAGGTTAAACCGAATGTAAGAAATACTAAATAACAACAAACTCTCATTTGGAGTTACACCATGCAGTGTAGAGAAAGGTCTTACTCTGGCAGGGTGTCGGCGTCTCCCAGCAGCAGGTGGGGCAGGCGGAGGATCAGGTGTTTCTGCACCCACTGCCAGTGAAGAGACAGCACCGAGATGCCCTGAGAGTCGGCCGGCAGCGTGCTGCACGCGTCCCAGAAACGGTCCAGCCACTGCAGCAGCTGCAGGATCTGAAACCAGGGAGACAGACATGAGCTTATCATGGTTTCACCTCTGAGGCAGGGTTTCCGTTAGCCGGTAATTACCGGTTTTTAGCTGGTAACATTTATTAAAAAACGGTAAATTAAAATCCTGCCGGTCAAAATGTCTGGTAATAATTAGGGATGCTCCGATCGATCGGCCGCCGGTCATTATCGGCTGATATTCACTCTTAATAGTTTGATCGGTGCTCTCTATAAAGGCCGATCAGGAGAGCTGGATCTGATCGATATGGACATAAACGCGAGTGAAGTGTAACCGGACCTGAGAGAGAGATCAGATCAGCTGCTGCATAACCACCTGAAGCCCCGCCCACTGTTTAGCGCGCTGCATGAGAAACTGACGGGCTGTCAGGAGAGAGGGAGAGGGGAAAAGAGAGCATCCGTTTCTCCCGTGATATTATTCGAAGTTAATGTAAACTTTTGAATAATGTACGTTATCTACTACAAGTAGTTTGTTTGAATGTAATAATTATGTTATTTGTGGAATCATTTATTGAAAAATGATTATAAACTGAAGCAATATAAAAATGAGCCCCATGAACTGAGTTTTAAACATCAGCATATCTGCTCATAGTCCGGTGATTACCTGCTAACGGAGACTCTGCTACACAACTCTTATTATTATTATTATTGAAACATGACCGGTACGTTTCAAATTTGTCCGGTAAAATGTATTATTTCTGGACATTTGACAGGCAAGAAAAAATCCTAGCGGAAACCCTGAGATCTGCATTTCCTTCATGATATCCTTCATACTTCCATAGTTCCACCACCTTCATAGTACCAGGTGGTGGAACTATGCAATACGTTTCCTTCCAGGTCATTCTGCTCCACCTGCTCTACTTATTGAGAGGGAGTAACACGATGAAGGTTCTGACCTCGAACATGATGTGGTCTGAGATGTAGGGCTGTCCGCTCTGCACCGCCTGCAGGGTGAAGGAGTCCCACAGGTCGAAGAAGGTGCGCAGGTGCATGAGCACTGGGTGGGGCAGGTGACCGATGTCCACAGTGCCTGTAAAGAGGGGGGGGGGGCATATGTTGCGTTAACTCAGGCTGAAGTCCATACTCGGCTGCATGTACTGCAGCTCATGTAGATCTGAAATGATTTCTATCAGTTCCTTATGATGCAGAGGGTGCAGTGCTCACCTTTACTGAAGGCTGTGGCGATCCTCAGGGCGGAGCTCTGAGACGACAGGTTGATGGCACAGGTGCAGATGACCGACCTCTCTTCTCTGTCTGTCATCAGAACAATCCTGCAAACACAAACTGCTTTTAAAACACTTTGATGTGACCAACAGCTGGAAAATCCTTTTGATTTATCTTTTATTTTCATGCATTTAATAGACAATACACTTTGCATGGAGAACCAATGTCATAGAAATGTGTTTTCTTCCAATCATTTTAGACATTTGGAAATGGATGATTCATATAAATTCCTCTTTAATGGCCACACGTATGTAAGCAGCACCGCACACACAGTGACTTGTAATTCCTGCATTTAAACCATGTTAGTATTAGGAGCAGTAGTAGTATTCTATTATACAGTGCAGCGGGGAGGAGTGGCCCAGGAATACAAATATATGTATATACATGAGCAGCAGGATAAAGTTAACGGGCCACATGTTGCAGTACCTGTTGGCGACTGCGTTCAGGGCCTCAAGGAACTCTGTGTATCGTTCCTCGTCCTCAAAGTTGCACTTGTTGGCTAAAATGTCCAGGTACTGCTTGTTCCATCGCATGTCCACAAGAATCCTGTATTCATCTGCAAAGCAACAGACAGTGGTCAGATTCCATGATGATGGCAGCAGTATGGAGTAACATGGGTCAACAATCTGATAAAGAGCAGAGAATATAATGCACTGAAATCATCGTCAGTTTTGACCAAGAATGACTGAAAATCATGAACTTCTATTTCAGGTCACATGATCTTTAGGTTATGCTGTAAGGATAAGGCCCTGAAGGGTAGCTAACAGCTACAGCTAACAGGAACACTCACCTAGAGAGAACAAATCTTGATATTCTCAACGATTGTTAAAGTCCAAAACGGATTTGTTAAACCGATGACAGTAATAACTTGGGAATCTCATTTTTAACTTAAACCTTTAATTGGGTTATCTTGATCAGATAATCACAAATCAATGGATCGAATGTTACGGGATACAAACAAATCCGATACTATACGTAGGCCCATCTGATAACCGTCATTGATGTAAAAGAGGGTGAATTATATCCAGTCTTTTACCCTGGATTTAAAATTCATTTGTTATTCTGAATATTAAAATGTAAACTAAAATGTCGCTGACCGATCAAAAACGCTGCTAAAGGTTCTGTAAACATCTGGTGCTGTAAGAAGAAGTAACTGTGTCATGTTTGTGGCAAGCTATGCCTTTTGGCATGATATTTACAGATGGCAAGGTTAAGCAAAGTGCATCCAAACACTTGAATTATTAAAAGCTATTTTGTTTTTTGTTGTTGCTTTTGAGAAAGAAAATCTGATTTGTATCGTATTGTCAGTTAATTAATTTGCAGTACACTGTATGTGTATCAGACAGGAACAAATGGTATTGAGCAATGCCTTCTTTTTGTATATACAGAAAGCATATATAATCATATGTGCAGGATGTGCTTTGCATATTCTAGTCATGGATTACAAAATGACTTTTTTATGGAAGAACAAGCCAACCAAAGAGTGTACCTGTGCTGTGGGGCTGCAGCAGCTGAGTCAGGGACTTGCCCTTGGCAGCCAGTTTGCCCCCGAACACCGCCTTCAGGGCCCGGTTCCCTGCCTCCACCTGCACCAGAGCTGGGTCTGGAAGATAAACAAGCACAAGGTTTCAGGATCCACAGTACTGGATCGTGCTGAACACTAAAGAAAACTATCATTTTCATTTCTGCAAGGTAGTGTGGTTACAAAATAAAACTGTAAAACACATGGACAGAAAACTCATCCCTGAGATGTCCTGTGATGTCATTGTCTCTAATATATGACATTTTAAACGAAACATGAATGTTGACATCTTTCCAAATATCCTGGTCAGTGTGTGGGTTACAGACCGGGGGCCTGCTTGTAGCTCTTCCCCAGGTGTGAGAGCCAGCTGCTGCGGAGGATCCAGTCCCCGTGAGAGGCCCTCTCAGTGAGCAGCCTCACTGCGGTGGGGATCAGCCGAAGAGCGTCTCCCTCCGCCAGATCCACCACCCCCCCCGGAGAAACTCAGGCCTTCATGGACCCCGCTGCCCTGCAGGGCCCTGCGCAGGTCACTCAGGCTCAGGGGGCGGCTCCTGTGGACAACAGCAATGAGTCAATTTGCCAGGGTTTAAAGTCTACAACATATCTGCCTTGCATTTTAACTCTTATTGTACTCCACTTTAACTGGCAGTTAGACAGTGTTTACATCATAGTAAACACATACAGTACTTTAGCTTTTAATGCTTACAGTTAGACCTTCACTGCAAAGAATTTCAGATCTCATGTGACGTCATGCACTTACACTCAGCTGACATTTCAACATGTTCTTATTGTATACGTTTCCCTGACAACAAATCATCCATTTTAACTAATACTGACTGTATTGTCAGCTTCTTAAAATAAAGCAACACTTTACTAAGCACATACACTATACCATTTTCCCCCTGAATTCTACATTAAATTGCCAGTACGGGTGCAGTATTTTAATAGTAGGTACATCTGATGTTCCTTTAACACCTGGATAAATACACACAGTGTATATAATGTGTTGTATATTTCTGTGATGGCTCTCAATACTCTCCTCACCGTTTGCCCTGCAGGCTGAGGGTGTTCAGGCAGAATGAGAGGACCTGTCCGTCTCGGAGGACAGCGGAGAAGCAGGAGTCCTCGGTGGAGAGGAGGGCGGAGGGGAAGCCGTCGGGCCAGACCCCCGCACACAGCAGCCCACTCCCCCAGTCCTCCGTGTCCAGGATGGCCAGCTGCTGCTCTATCAGCAGCTGGGCTTGCTGGAAGGAAATAATGCATCAATGTTTTACTCCTATTATATGTTCTAAATGTCTTTATGCTGGAGGAAAGGTTACAAATGTATGCTTGGGTGGACCATGAATAGTCACAGCAAATGTTTTGGGAATCTGATTGGTTAGTTACCAGAAACCATGTCAAGTACCAAAATGATTAATCAAATTGAAATTGCAGACTTTGGCTTGTGATGCTCCAGCAATAATGTAAATGTAGTCTAACTTTGGGCCTCATCATTGAAAATATCACCAAATATATCAAGTATTTACACTAGGGCTGTCAAGTTAACGCATTAATAACTAATTATGTTAACGCGATTAACGCATGTGTATTTTTTTTCCTCGGCCGCCCCGTAGTTTCAGAGCGCATCAAGTTTAAAATACCATCTACAAGCTGATGCTGACAGCCCCGCTCCTGCCGCCCGCTTGTGGCAGACCACACTTCCACGCTCACCGGCAGGCACCGACTGGCTGTTGGGAAGACCGGGAGGGTGTGTGTATGTGTGGCTCGAACGAGAGAGAGACCTTACGTGTATTGTTGTTGTTAGCATCTGGTGCTAGCTAGCTGCGCTAACGGATATAAGGATCTGTTTAAATGAAAACAGAGGAGCGACATTTCGCCCACAACTGCGCCGAGCACTTGACTTTATGCAGGAAGCCAGACAGAGGGACATTGTACGAAAAGTCAGCACACTCAGAGTCAGCACGGATAGTGCACGTAACATGATTGCAGCGTCCAGGCAGCTCCCGTTCGAGCATATGCCTTGAGTTGCACAAATAATAATAAACATGTGCATAAAGCATATTTGTCCACTCATATGTTGATAAGAGTATTAAAAACTAAGGTACATTTAGAACAGATCAAAAATGTGCGATTATTTTGCGATTAATCGCGATTAAATATTTTAATCGACTGACAGCCCTAATTTACACTGTCTTTTATTTGATAGGTCACACTGTTATGTTCCACCAGCATAGAGGGGGAATATAAATGTAAATCTCAGAGAAATGTGACCCAAAGAGAGAAAGAATACAAAAGGGGTAACAAGTTAGATGTCTGGTGGACACCACGGGTGTGAGGGCATTACCACATTGAGACAGTTGGATCATGCATTGAAAAGGGGGTGTCCATACCTTTTGGTTGGTGTTGGTGCGCTGGCACTGAGAGTAGGCCTCTCCACAGGCATGCTGCAGGGCGCTGGGTAGATCCACGCCTCTCTGCAGCTGGCAGGACAGCAGGGAGGCCGCATGGAGGAGGGAGGCCACTGAGGAGGCCGGGGAATCTGAAGGATGGAAGCACATCGTTTAAATTATCTCTGAGACTGAAGTCCTGGAGATCAGTTCCCTGCACTATTCCACTTTTTTTCTTTTTGTATCTACTTGCACAATTCTTTCAGTTTTTTTCTGTTGCACTGTTGGAGGAGCCTGTGACCTAAGATCATAACTACACTGTAGCTATGTACGCATGACCGATAAAAGCCTTGAACCTAACTGAGCTTGCAGGTCTGGCTTGGTGGAATATCAAATTCCCTTGCTCTTCAGAAAATCACCCTTACTGTATGCTTAAGGCTACATATTCTACCTTTGATAGGATTTGGTGAAGCTTTTTATCCTTTCTTGAAGGGGAGAACACCACAGTGACCTTTGTATAATTTGTATTTTATTATATATTTATATTATGCCCTGATCTGCTTTCTATCTTGCTTTTTCTTTTTTTTTATGATTAATAAGTGAACATTTTCAATAAAGTCCTCTGTCCAGTCCCTGACTGACTGACATGCAGCATTTCTTTGTGTTGTTGTTATCAATGCTTACCCCAAATGGCAGTTTTGATACTTTTATGTATTCCTATTAGCAGATCACACACACAGTCCCCGGTCACCCCCGCAGTGTGAAGCAGGGTCTTCAGGTCCAGTGTGTCCCAGCAGACCCCCTCATGTTCCCCTGGGATGTATATCTCCACCCCTCTGTTCCTCATGGCTCTGGAGAGCTCCCCATGAACAGGATCCATGGTGAGGAACAACCTGCAACGCCCGAACATCAGCTGATCAAGGACAAACTTTTCAACAACTTCAATAAAAGAAGTGAACAATATTGCATGCTACCTGAAGTTAGGATGAGGTGTGATTTTGGGGGTCTTCCCGTCTATGACGCCTCGTTCGTTGATGGTGAGAGATCCACCGGGCTCCAGCAGAGCATTGAGGCGATCCAGGACGGAGGCACTAACAAGAACACATGGTCAGTGCAATGAGCTAAATATGTTGATATACTTCGCTTTATCTACAGCTCATTTCAAATAACTATCTCACACTGTTCGGGACTTCAATTCCTTTGCTCCCCATATCTGCATTACTTTCTGTAAATATGTGCAACAAGCTTTAGTTTGGTTTTCTTGAAGCCGGTAACAAAATGATGATATTTTCTAACACATCTTCTGCATAGCTCTCAGACCCTGAGTTTTTAATGAGGCCCAGGGTTGAGGCCATTTCTTATATATACACCATGTAGAAATCGCAACTAAACCAACTTTTTACAAATAGGTCAACAAGAACCCAAATCACTTTCTCTCACCTGCAGAAGTTGACGTTGTCCATGAGCAGCCAGTCCCCGGCCTGAAGGGCCTGGACCAGCATCCCGTCCAGCCACTCGAAGCCTCCGTTGGTCCAGCCGTCCTCCAGCTGAGCCAGGCGCTCCTTCAGCAGCGTGAAGTCCAGCTGCAGTTTGGACATGTCTGGAGGAGAAACACAGGCGTGTTACAGCAGTGAGACCATACTCCTGATCGTCCCATCAGGCAGTATTCAGCTGTCAGACACTGCTGGGCCATTACCAGTGAACACTTTGAGCTTTGTGTTGAGTTTCTGCAGCAGCAGGATGATGACCTCCAGCTTGTTCAGAGCCTCTGAGTTGATGGTCCCCCCCGTCCTCTGCTGCCTCTCCTCCTTCAGCCAGTGGCAGAACAGACCCCAGGTCTGCAGCAGGAACTCCGTGTCCTGGATTCCCACATCCAGCGACATCAGGCCACGCCTTATCACATTAGCAACTATGTAGTCCACGCTCTCCAGAACTTGTTGCCATGGCCGCATGATATCAACCTGGGACGAAGAAAAGGTGCAGAGTGATACAAACTGAAAATGTAGACATTGAAGAGGCACTTAAATTAGGAAATGTTCGTTCATATGAATGAACCATTGTGAGGAATGTTAGCTGATCCATTCCTATGATTTAAATGTATGGAAATTAAGTTAAAGTCCTTGTCCTGTTTAACTATTTGTTTTGCCATTTATTTGATTTTAAGTTACATATATTTTTTTATTATCATTTATACACTCTGATATGTTTGCTATATTTGCATATTGTGTACTATGGTTAGAGAGAATGTTAGTATATCTACAGTAATATGTTAAATGTCCAAAATCATAAATATAGTACAGAGAGATGTTTCCAGACAGAAAGAGGCTGGTTACACTAGAGATCTGAGGTGCCGCTACCTGTTCGAACCCCCCCAGCAGCTCCGTGGTGTCCATGGCGCTGTTCATGGCCAGCACCCTGAGGCGGTGTCCCGTCAGCAGAGCCAGCAGGCGGGCCAGGCTGGTCTTCCCGCTGGCTGTGGGGCCCACCAGTATGGTCATCCAGCCCATCTCCACACACTTCATCAGGGACTCCAGGGGCCGCAGCACCTGGTGTGTGATGGACAGGGGGGGATCCAGGGCCACAGGGGCCCCACCGATGCGCTGCAGGACGGAGAAGCCCACCTGTAGGAGCAATCCATGGGAGAACAAACCATTAACTTCTCCTCATCATTTAGATTTCTACAACACCAGACAGAGGTTTGGTTGTCCTGACGAACCTGCAGGTTGAGAGGAGTGATGTGGAACTGCCGGGAGCCGCTGTACGGCTCAGAGTCCTCCCCGAACACCTTCCTGAACACCGACAGAACCTGTGGGACGGCAGGGGTTCACAGAATGAACAGTGGAACACACTTTACAAAGAGGTGAGTAACAAGAGAAGGAATAGTGAGGTTGGTGACTGAATGCACTGAAGTTAGAGGGTGTAATCTTTGCATGATAAGCAGTTGAACTACTCTGCACCGGCAATGGTGCTGCCCGAATAGGAAGAACAATCGGTGTAATGAACTACTACTACTAGTTAAAAGTATGCATTTTGGTATTAAACCTCAGCGTGCAAAGTTCACAAACACAAACTCCCAAGAGGAGGACAGAATGCAGTCTCTTTTCTGAAACAGCTCCATATATTGAGGATTACCACCCATTACGTTCAAACCAAATACATTTCCGACTACCTTGTTCTGAGGGACCTGTAGATGTATTTTTCCCAGACCTTCAAACCAGGACCAGATATGGTCTGTTCAATTGGCCAGCACCCTTGTAACCAAAAGACTGGCTCTGTTATGCCTGAGTCTGAAATGTCCTGCTCTCTTTACTTAGATGGCAAGACAACACACGTCCCAATCATAGGTTTTTGTAAAAGATCATCTTTGTTTCATAGTGTCTTCACAAGTGCAACAGTATCACCATTAAAAGTATCAAAACAACTGGAACAAAACACAAAAGAAAAAAAGGAAGTATCTCAAGTACAACAGACACTAATGAATTAAACATGATTGTTTGAAAACCCAATAGAGTGGTGCAGTGACGCGTCCTAAAACCCGGAAGTAAGCTTTTATCATTTTCAATTCATAAATCTATCGATTAGATTTATGATTCGAAATTATAAAAGTAGGGTAGACATGTGGAGATTATCGGACTGAACAAAACGTGATCCGTCTCTTAAATGTGTGTCAACCACAGACCTTATTTCCAGCTATTTTCCAAAATCCTATGGAGAAATTGCGTTGCTTTTTGTCGAGGGAACCAGAAAAAGCTTACTTTCGGGTTTTAGGACGTGTCACTGCACCACTCTATTCAACTACTTCTAATTAGTGTGAATGCTGTGCAACAGCATTCCACTATAGTTCTTCAAATCTTTATTCTTCCTCTTCATCTTCTTATTTCAACCAATATTTTGCCGTCAAATAACTTCAGCCTACTTTCAGCTAAAGAAACCATTCAAATATCAAACTATTCAGCCTTTTCAGCACATGATGGGAAACTTTCAACTTTTTCAAAATATTTGATACTTTTTGAAATATTCAGCTTTTTAAACTCTTTTTTTAACATGTAACTCAATGGGAGGAACCTTCAAATCCTCTTTTAACTAAACCGTGCGCCAAATGCTACTCCTTCCACATACTTTCAGCTAGAGACTTCATTCCAACTTTAAAATGATCACAAGACCTTCAGCAGCTGCACACCTTTAGTACATCTGCCAAAAAGGCCACATTATGGATCCGAAAGTGCACAAAAAGCACACTCAGATGCTCGTCGGGGTCCTGAGACGCTTCACACAATGAAATGTCACCGATATCTGCTACGGTTCTTCAACAAAACGTTCACATGTTTATCTCTCATTCAGATCAATGGAAAGGCTCTCCTCTCACTGATTACTGTACATCACCATGGAAACCTTTGATCTCTGGGCTCAAGCACAGGTGTTTCATAACATCATTAACTCAAACATAAACACCTGTGTGATGGAACACGATGTCATAACTCCAACTGACATGCTCAGAACGCCACCAAACATCACATGATGGTTAACACTGTGTCCCTGAACAGCTCTACATCAAATCTGATGTTACGTAATGTGGTGTTACTATGGCAACGCATCCCTTGCCATAAAACACGATGTCGCTGTAACTCCAATGGACACGGCCCGATCGTTCCCCAATATTCACCTGTATATCACCTCTCCATGCCTCAACAGCTTTACGCCAAATCTGAGATCTCACCCTAAGCCGTTTCCATGGAAATGCATCCCTCGCCAAAAAACACGATGTCTAAATGCCTATGAAAAGGGTCAAAACAGCACCAGACTTCAGATAATGATCCAGCCTTCACCATGTCTATGTGCCAATAATGAGTTTTCCTCAAAAGCGGTTGCCATGGCAACGCATCCCTCGCCAGAAAACAAGATATTGCAAAAAGTGCTCAAACTTCACATGTGTGCTAACAGTCCAGCCGTGAAGACATCTACGGGACAGTTTTGAGATTTCTTCAAATGCAGTTCAGGGTTTCCCACACAGACTATACTTGGGCGGGCCGCCCAGGTATATTAACGGCCGCCCAAGTATATTTCGCGACCCATTTTTTTTTTTATTTTTTTTTTTTATAAGTTTTTTTTGTATTTTTTTTTTTGTATTCGTCCGTGACCACGACACCATCTGCGATCGATTAACTTGTGGACAATGATCCCTCGCTCCCTTGCTCTGATCTCGCCTCGTTAAGTGGCCTGCCTCACACAGGGTGACTGGCTGTCCACATGATGTGGCCTGCCGACATGGCCACTGTCATACAGATCATAAATCAAAGCCCTTGATTGGTCTCTGTGTGTCATTCAAGCTCGGGATAACCTCAGCTCAGGTGAGCTAAAGGACTCTCTGAGTGTTTAGATAGTTAACTTAGTCTAAGTTCTCAGTGGGTCTCAAACGGTGTGGTCACCATTTATGTAAACACATATTTCCATTTGAGAGGGTAGTGATTGGTCTAATGCAGGGGTACTCAAATACAAATCTTAAAGGTCCAAAATAAATGTTTCAATAAGACAAAGGTCCGTTTATTACGGTCATTCAAACTTTTAAACAATTGCAACAAGATTCTTAACACGAGGTTGCAAAAACAAAAATAATCTGTATGCAGCAGTTTTCATTGTTATTGTGTCTGTGCTTGACCCCTCAGAGTCGCAGTGTAAGAGCTGCACAGTTATGAATAAAGGCAGCTGCACCCTCTTTCATTCAGCATTCCCATTAGTGCTTTATAAATGTCTTGCCCCCTTGTGTGTCCACTGAGGTTCGTCAGGCCCAACACATCTTCAACAAACTCCCCCTTTGCCTCATCATAAAAACTAACAAACACCAGCAACTGAGCATTATCAGTGGTGTCAGTGGACTCATCCACAGCTAAGGAAATGCACTGTGCATTTTCTATTCCATCACAAAGCTGATGAATCAAATCACCAGCCAGTGTTTATGTTCTTCTGGTTGCTGTGGAATCTGAGAGGGGGATTTGCTTGATTTGACCTGTTATTTCCTCTTTTTGTTTGCCTTCAACATGGTCTCCATCACTTCAGTCATGCATTCTTTTATACTGCAGTTATTATCCAGTGGAAAGCCCTTACCTGCTGGCCTAGTTCAATCAAAGTGGTTACTTTTTTTTGGCTGGGCAGTGTAGTTTTACACACCGTCTTATTTGACTTTCTCAGGACTTAAAACAGTTTTTTGGGGGCAGACCCCCTCAAAGAAAACAATATATTTACACACGTAAGGTCATCATCTTAATAGTTGTGTATGCTCATCCATGAGCAGAGCATCAAGTTGACATGTCTATTACAGCTGAATGCGGCGATTACCATTTTGTTCAGAAAAACGCCTCACAAACGTATTAAGATCAACAGCTTTAGTGCGTTTTGATTCAATGCTGAGTACAGCCACACTGACAGTCTCTTCTCTGTCAGTGTAGACCGCAAATACCTCATTCCTTCAGCGCTTGGGTCCGAATGCTTCTCGTTTTGCGCCGTCCAGTTCAAAATGAAATCGCCGCCAATCGTATATCCACGCTCGCGCTAGGACCGGGGGAGGGGTTACATGACGTGCATCTTGTGCTGCATTCACTTGCACTCGGACATTAGAGACTTTCTCTCATAAATGTCCGATGAGCCACAACTTTTCTTTCAAAACAAAGCTGCCAACTGGGGTGGCAGCTGGGGTGGCAAGGCCTATTTTTAGGGTGTCAGTTGCCACCCCGGTAGGTGAAACTAGGCTACTAGCTACAGTACAGATGGAACTAGATGAGCTGTTAACTCTCGCTCTGAATTATTTTTGTTTTAATTCTCGCTCTGACTCAGACAGGTTGAAAGAGACACACACATTTTTCCCACCCGCATTCTGCGAAGACCCGCCCTACTGTGCCTCTGATTCGTAGATTGTTTGGGGGAAAAAAACGCTGACTGGATGCTGAATGTGATTGGACCAAAGCGTTGACACACACAGGTGGAACACAGTGGAACAGTCAGACATGCAGAGCGCTGTTTGCAGTGGACATAGCGGAGAATTTTTACTCGTTGCGAATGCGTTGTGGCGATGTCTCACATATAATACAGAAAGATAATACATATGAAAAGTATAATTTGCTCAGAGTCCGGAGATAGTGGTGGTTCGGTCCGGATCCGGACCGGAGTCCGTAGTTTGAGGATGCCTGGTCTAATGGATAGTGAGGTGGGCTGAAGATCGGAAGGCTGTGAGTTCAAATCCCGCCAGGAACACCACCACTAGTGTGCCCTTGAGTGCCATCTTTACGCAAAATGGTGATACAAAATGATTATACAAAATGATTATACAAAATGAAAACTTTTTCTTTTTTTTTGCGCACCCCCCCCCCCCCCCCCCGCCCGCTGCCACCACCCGCCGAAGTATATTTCAGATCTGTGGGAAACACTGCAGTTGCCTTGGCAACACAACGCTCGCCATGAAACACGGTTTTCTCATAACTTCAGTGAAAATGCTCGAAATGGCCCAAAACTTCACAGGTTTGGTAACGATGCAGCCATCAACACATCTAAGCGTATTATGGGATGTCATCAAATGCTGTTGGCATGGCGACAGATCATTCGCCATCAAGTTAGTTCAAAAGTTTGCAGTTAAAATATTCTGCTGCTTTTCAAAGCATTTTTACTTTCTTTTCTCATCTTAATACACATTCATTCACTACTTACATTGAATATATAACTCCTTCAGCCTATTTTCAGCTGCAGAAACCATTCAACTATTACATTATTCAGCTATTTCAGGACATCAAGGCTATACATGTTGTTTATACCTTTTTTAAACATTTTCTTTTAAATATTAAGCTTCTTCACTATTTTTCCTACTCTTCCAGTTTAACATTTCACTTTCAAGTCATTGCAATGCATTTGAGCTGTAACAATTTAGATTCAAATTATTTCACTTTTCTGCATTTCTCCGCTAAGTTGAGCAACACACTTACTTGGTTTCTGTAGCTAAAAGCATCTACAGAGACTATTCAACTAATAATATATTCAGCTTTTTCTGCATTTTCAGCTAAATTCAGCAACAAATGTTCACAGTTTACAACATTCGCACGCATTTTCAGCAGGAAATGCATTTTCTAGTTGCCTATATTAATGTACTGATTATGTTTGTGGTGCAGATTGGAGCAGCAGTGTACCTGAGCCTTGTCAGCCTCCGTTCTCATCCTGTCAGCAAACACCAGGGCTACATGCTGCCCGGGGTTGAAGAACCCTGGAGACTGGTCAGCCTGCATCAGCTCACACCAGCGGAACAAGTCGCGCAGGTTGAACTCCCAGGGACTTCCCTTCTGACCCCAGCGCCGCTCCACACACACCTCCTGGACCAGCTGAAATGCAGAAAGAAAACCTCACGTGTAAAACTTGGCCTGATGCTCGCCTCGCAGGTCATATCTTCTCACAGCAGACAGAGAGGAACTCACCCTGTTACTGAACTCCACCATCTTAGCTATGATCTCCTTATCGATGCTGGTGAAGATGGAGTCTCCGATGAACTCCATGTCTTTGCTTGTGAGTTGGTCCACAAACACCTAGGACACAGGGGGAAGGCAGATGTAATCTAAGTGATCTTAAGTGATATTGTAAATGTTTCTAAATTAAAGGTTTAGTATGTGAAATGTCAAGGCGACAAACAATGGTGTAATACATAGAAATGCATGTTCAAATATAAATCTGCAACCAGAGAATATTTGCTTAAAAAATAACTAAAATGATTGATTTCTACTGTAAAATATGTATTAACCAAAGAGAAAGATTGTATCATGAGCAATTGGAAAAAAGGTTAAATTAAAAAAAGACATTTAATTTAAAAGTCATGCACTTTTTATTAAATTACCAAGATATCAATTTACAAAATCCCCAAATATATTAATAGACAGGAAAATAAGAAAAATAATTAAACAAAACTAAAAACTGCAATCGATAATCATTTTGAAGTATCTTAAAAAATGTGTATAAATCCCGCTGCTCCTCACCTGGGTGAATCTGTTGAGGAAGGACTTGGGCAGCCCCTTCCGCCCCCCCCCCTGAGTGAAGGGGTTCTGGCAGCCGAAGATCTTGGTCTTCTCCGGCTGAACCTGGAAGCTCATGCCCAGCTCAGGGATGTAGATCTCTGCTCGGTGGTCGAAGCAGGCGTTCAGACCCTCCAACACCGACTGGGAGGCCAGGTTCAGCTGTCACCATGACAACAAGTCCAGTCAGTTTAAAATCCCAGATTATATCAACGCATTACAGTTTGTTTGATTAAGGTTAGTGTAGGAGCCATGAAACATGTTTAGTATTGCGTTTTGTTTTAATATAAGATATTTGTTTGATCACTATTGATTGGTTGGCTTGGGTCACATGGATATGGGCGGCACTCATTATAACCTGTTCACCTGCGTGAGGTGTGTGTGTGGAAGAGAGGGTGACACAGGGCCGTTGCACTTTTTGTTGACCGCAAGATTTGTGATTGCTTTGATTATTATTATTACAATATCTATGTCTGATCACCACGTTTTGACCATTAAATACATTATTATTCAAAAGAGTTTTGATCTCAGCAAGTACTCTTTTTTAGTGTGTCATACCATATCAAACAGGCCCGGCCTCAGCCTCTCAGCAACTTTGTTAGTTTCCTGCTGTCGCTATAGTTAGTAATCAAAAATGGAGGTCGTTTGACGAAATGAAATTAAAAACATTGTGCTTACCTCGTCCAGGACCACCCAGTGTCCAGCCTTCAGAGCAGCCAGCAGGGGGCCATCGCGCCACGCAAACTCTCCCCCCTTTCCTCCCTCCACAGGGAGATCTGTCCCAAACAAATCCGTAACATCCTGCCAGAGAGCAAACCATCAGTCAATAGCATCAGAGCCAGGAAGTATTAAAAGATCCGGAGCTCCATGGAGAGCATTGTTTAATGAAGTCTCACCGTCTGCTCCGACAGGTTGATTCTGACCAGATGGTTCCCTGAGGCTTTAGCCAGCGCTGCCACCAGGCTGGTCTTCCCCACGCCGGGGGAGCCCTCCAGCAGCACGGGCCTCTGCAGCTTCAGAGCCCGCAGGAGCCTCTGAGCGTTCACCGCCGTGGTGCCAGCTGCCATGGCGTAGTCCGGCAGGTCCCGGCTCTCCGTCTGAGGGCCTGGAGGGACAGGAAGTGTAAAGAGCTCTTTGATTCAAGAACCTGAAGAGAATCTCAACTGAACCAGTTTATTAAGTTACACTCTTTGTAATCACTCTCACATTTTAAACAATTTCTTCATCGATCTAGACCTAAAGCATGTATACCAGGTCTCAGACACCCAATGCAGCTTGGAACCAAAGGTGCACTAACTTACTATAACCAGCAGGCCAAGAGCATCACTAATTAGGACCTACACAAATGATTTAAAGCGGGTGGGTCATTCATTTAAAAAATGTTTTTGTTATATTTATATAACTATTTATGGACAATTTTAGGGCAGGGTATTTGATTATTAAAGAAGTTCCTTTTGCATCAGATTACAGCAGCAGTCGGGATTTAGATCAAGTCATAGATGGATCCATTATGAGTAGTAATATTATTGAAGCCTTAGATAATAAACAACACTGGGCTGCACTCATCATAGACTTATCTAAAGCAGTGGAGTCGGTCCATCATGGGATTTTATTGGAATGTACAATTGGAGTAGATAAATAGACGTAGTTTCTAACAGTTTCAACTCAAGTCTCAGTTAGTATAGGTGAACTGCTTGGGTACTTTCTTCTCCTTTCTTTATTCACCATATTTTTATAACAACTGTATCTAGGGATCACTGACATCCCAAATTGTAACGTGCATCTTCTATGCAGATGACGTCATTTCATTTACCATGTCTCTTAATCTGGCCATTGCAAATGTATGGTCGGCTTTTTATACATTTCAGATACAATCCTGACACATATATATATATATATATATGACTATGCTTTTTTCTAGGTCACATAAGACTACAGCCTACTATAAAGCATATTATAAAGCATTTGAACATATATAGAATGTTATAAATCTGGAGCGTTCAAACCTAAAGCAATGTAGAAGGGGTCGATGCCAAAGAAGTCTTCCCCCCACTGGGGTTGCCGCGGCAGGCCGCTGTCATACACCCTCAGGGCGTCCAGCACTTCCTGGTCCAGTTTGGTCATGCTGCTCAGCCGCTGCTGCAGGAAGCCCAGGCACAGTCGGCGAGCCTGGAAGGCGTTGTCTGCAGAGGACACCGTGGTTCCTGCAAGAAGAGGGACCCTCAGATAACAATCAACACCTCCTTGGAGAGAATCTTTCTCGGTGAAAATAATAATAATCCATCAGCTCACCAGAGCCAATGCCGTCGATGTACACCAGACATGCTGCGTGGATGAAGGCGGTCACGGTGTCCAGTCTGAGGTCCCACTCTGCCTCCTCTTCCTCTTCCAGGGCTCCCATGGTCATGAAGCCGTCCTCGTCCCGCTCACACACAACGTTCAGGAAGTACACCCAGGACAGGATGTCTCTGACACTCAGGATGCAGCGCCGGCCGAAGTCCTGCTGAGTCAGCCACTCGATGAAGTCCAGCATCAGCTCCGCGATATCGCCGCCTGCGCCAGACAAAGGAACAACATCAGGAACACTTTCAATTGGCTGTCTTCTATGTTTTCACACATCAATCGTTTGCTATGCTGTAACTAGGACTGACTGGATGTAGCTAAGACTTGTTTCAGCAACTTCGTCTCTAAGCTAGTTTACCGTCGATGGAGAGGCCTGAGCGCAGGTTGTGCTGGATGATCTGAACCAGGTCACTGCGGCTGTTGCTCTGAGGACACCATATCTCTGTGAAACGGTTCCTTAGGGCAGGAGAGAGCTGGCCAAAACAAACAAGCACAAGAGTTATACTCTGCCTTCATACAGGTAAAAGCACATTTAGACATTTTAACCCTCCTGTTGGCTTTGGGTCAAATTTCATCCGTTTATAAATGTTTTTATGTCAGACAAATAGGTTATTTCATCTAATTATTAAATGTTCTTTGCGAGAAAATGTATGATGACTATTTGCAATGAATTACATTTATATTTGATCAAAATAAACTCCTTACTGAACGTTGACATACATCAGTAATTAGACCCTCCAGAAAAACGCGATTCTGCGATCGCAGAATTTACCGCATAATCAGCAAAATGGCGCAGATTTTTAAAAGGCCGCATATTTATCAAAAGGGCGCATAATCCCCGCATTTTTCCACACAAAGTTGAGGGGAAAAAAAGTTAACTCGTCTTGACGTGAAGTGATGATGATGACGCGATGTCATCAGCTCGCGCATCACAGAAGGTAAACAACACCGTAGCGTGAACGTGTGGAACTCACACGAGAGTTTCTCTTCACCAAGATGAACAAATCTAATCCATCTCATTTACCGACGAACATTTCTGCTAAAGACCGGGCAAAGCAGTACCCCGATGTCTTGCACGACAGTGAGGGGGAAACTATTCTGCACCCCGTGCAACTGTGTGTTGGAGCATAAGAGAACATTGACGGTGACGACCCACTTTGATTCATTCAAACATTCGAAAATGCTTTCTGCTGCTGCGGACAAGAAAGCCAAACAACTCACGTTCACCGAGGCATCGACCTCCAAAACCCTTTCGAGGGCTACAAGAAACGAGGTGAGAAGCCTACAAGATTGAAGCTGGTCAGATAACGAACGAGTAAATGAAAACAGAATGAGGTGGAGAAGTGTGTGTGTGTGTGTGTGTGTGTGTGGTGTGTGTGTGTGTGTGGTGTGTGTGTGTGTGTGTGTGTGTGTGTGTGTGTGTGTGTGTGTGTGTGTGTGTGTGTGTGTGTGTGTGTGTGTGTGTGTGTGTGTGTGTGAGAGAGAGAGAGAGAGAGAGAGAGAGAGAGTGATTAAAATAGCCCAATTGCTTTTACAATAAATAAACATTGAATGTGTTTAATTGAATAGTAAAGGGGTTTAACGTTAGTGGCAGGTTGTGTGTGAGAGAATAAATAAATAAGCCCAATATTTATTTTTTCCGCATATTTCGCAACTTCCCGCAATTTCACCGCATAAAACCCCACATGTTTGATCGCATAATCAAGGATTTTTGCCCACGTTTTTCTGGAGGGTCTAAGTAATACTTCTGATATTAAAGGAGACATGTCATGCTTTTCCGGTTATTACCCGTCCCCTTGTGTGTTATGAAGGTTTTTATGCATGTAAGCGGTGTGCAGAGTCAAAACCCTCAAAGTACATCCTGTAGCGGGTAAAACTCTAAAACAGAAAATACCTCCCCAAAACGCCTCATTGGTGAAACGTCATTGTCCATTTTTTACTTCCTGGGTGCTGTGTCGTAGAAGCACCCAGTAGCCACGCCCAGAACTATGACGCGATACGGTCATGCGGTACCCGGAACCAAATGGGCCAATCCGTGGAGCCGTTACGTTACGTCCGCGGAGCTGTTACGTTAAGCCCCCGCTGATTGGTCCAAATTGACCAATCCACGGACTTCCTCACACACACACTCAGTGCAGGCAGCTCTGCTGATCTCTCCTCCCTGGCTGCAGGCTGATAACAGACAGTTGGGATCTCTCGAAATTCTCTCTGCAGACCCGTTCTCTCTGCAGACCCGTTCTCTCTGCAGACCCGTTCTCTCTGCAGACCCGCTCTCTCTGCAGAACCGTTCTCTCTGCAGACCCGTTCTCTCTGCAGACCCATTCTCTCTGCAGACCCATTCTCTCTGCAGACCCGTTCTCTCTGCAGACCCGTTCTCTCTGCAGACCCATTCTCTCCGCAGACCCGTTCTCTCTGCAGACCCACTCTCTCTGCAGACCCGTTCTCTCTGCAGACCCATTCCTCTCCGCAGACCCGGTCTCTCCGCAGACCCGTTCTCTCTGCAGACCCGTTCTCGCAGACCCGTCTCTTGGCAGACCCAGTTCTCTCTGCAGACCCATTCTCTCTGCAGACCCATTCTCTCTGCAGACCCACTCTCTCTGCAGACCCAACTCTCTCTGCAGACCCTTCTCTCTGCAGACCCACTCTCTCTGCAGACCCACTCTCTCTTGCAGACCGTTCTCTCTGCAGACCCGTTCTCTGGTCTGCAGACGGCCACCTCTCTCTGCAGACCCATTCTCTCTGGCAGACCATCTCTCCAGACCCACTTCTCTCTGCAGACCCACTTCTCTCTGCAGGACCCGTTGCTTCTCATGCAGACCACGTCTCTCTGCAGACCCACTCGCTCTGCAGACCCGTTCTCTCTGCAGACCCGATTCTCTCTGCAGTACCCAGTTCTCTCCTGGCAGACACGTGGTCTCTTGCAGACCCGTCTCATCTGCAGACCCACGCTCTCTGCAGACCCAGTTCGATCTCATGCAGAACCCACGTTCTCGATCTGCAGACCCCAGTCTCTCTGCAGGACCCCGTGCTCTTCTAGCAGACCCACTCTCTCAATGTGCAGACCCATTCTCGCTAGCAGACCCACTTCTCTCTTGAGACCGGCATTCTCTCTGCAGACCCACTTCGCTTCTGCAGACCCAGTTCTCTCTGGGCAGACCCGTTCTCTCTGCAGACCCGGTTCTCTCTGCAGACCCATTCTCTCTGCGAAGACCCAAGTTCTCTCTGCAGACCACATTCTCTCTGGCAGACCCATTCTCTGCAGACCCATTCTCTCTGCAGACCCATTCTCTCTGCAGACCTTCTCTCTGCAGACCCTTCTCTCTGCAGACCCTTCTCTCTGCAGACCCATTCTCTCTGCAGACCCATTCTCTCTGCAGACCCATTCTCACAGCGTTTATCAACCCTTTTCTTACTCAATATCAAGCCACACTTATTGTTTTTACTTCGGCTGTGACTTTGTGTGTGCTCAGGATGAGTTTGGCTGTGTTTCGCTGTGTATCGCTAAACAAGGAAATCACACCTCCACGGAGCTCAGCGCGATTCACAACGGCCCGACTGGTCCCGACCAATCGGAGCACACTGGGCTCACAGGGAGGGGGGGCAAGAGCTGCAGCGAGCCGTTTAATGGAGAGAGTGAATACTGCTGAATACACGTAGTTTACAGAGATGCTGTATGCGAAACCAATGTGAGTTTGGAAAATTGCACAGTATTTTTCTATTTTAGTATACCTCAACAATGGAATTATGATCAGTGGAAATGGCCATGACACCTCTCCTCTAACTATAGTCAAAACATTTTAAAATGTTGGACTTTTTTTTTTTAAACAAAAAAATAACGTTTAATTGTATCTGTAAATGAGGCTTTATTTACTATTATATGAAGTTGGCTGAAAAGGTGTAACCAAGATTTTGGTTATGATTTATACTACATGCTTTATACACACTCAAACCAGGACAAAGTTGCACATCTGATAGAAAGACAACACAAAGGTTGAAGAGCATTTTGGGACAAACATCGTATTTACATTTTTAGTCAGGCAAATGCAACACAGCAACATTATTCTTTTTTCTTTTTTTTTAATCTACCTCCTTCTTGCCAAAGTCTCCTCCAGGATTCATGGTGGCCACCAGACGGAAAGCTGCAGCTGCTCTGATCAGCTCCACGTCGTCATTGTCTCCGCTGCCCTTCTCCGCCAGCACCAGGGACTTCTCTGTCTCTAAGACACTGAGAGGAAACACACACTGTCAAGGGCCAGCCATGTCTGTTATTCACCTGCATGTGGTTGTGTCTCAAAATGTTATTCCAAGTGTAGCAAAAGTATCATTTGTGGCAGTATACTCTTAAAAGTCTCGTAACAGTACCACTTGTTGCACATATGTTTTACTAACTGTCATTACAAGGTGTCCTTATTGATTGAAAGGGAAAGAGAAGGTGTGTTTTCGAACACAGTTCTTGCAGTTCTATTTTTTTTTTTGTGCAAAATGTTACCATCAATGTCTAATAGAACACAGGCCATCTGCACTGAGAACAGCTTATTGGCCCTACTGTGATCTGACGATAGAGACTACCCCCAGACCACAGCGCTGCTTCTTTCCTTGTTTTTACTCAAAGTCAAACATGTCTAGATTACAGTCTGCCTAAAACGTTTTTTTAGATATCCGATATCTGACAGATCTTCTTCTTGTAATGCTCATGAGTCAAAATACATTTTACTATGCAACTTCGTGCCACACATACAGGTACTGAAATTGAAGCGGTTGATATGTGTGAATCTGGTCTGACAGATTCCCGACATCATGTAGAACAGCATGTTTAGAACAAAGATACAATTGTTATCTTTCATTGGACTAAAGCAGGTTACTCCTATAATGACAGTTTGACCATCACATCCGAACTGTGCAGATACACTTTTGTTCTGCTGCTAACTCCACCTTCAAACAATGTGATGTAGATGACCTGTGCCCCGCCCTCCACAGGAGGTACAGGTGTGTGTGTGTGTGTGTGTGTGTGTGTGTGTGTGTGTGTGTGTGTGTGTGTGTGTGTGTGTGTGTGTGTGTGTGTGTGTGTGTGTGTACCTGTTGAGTCTCTCCAGCACTGAGTCATCTGCCAGGGAGATCTCATCCATGAGGAACACCCCCCCCTCCTTCATGGCCAGCACCAGGGGCCCATCATTCCACTGGAACAGCCTGCAGTCCTCCCCATCAGTCTACACAGAGACACACACACACACACACACACACACACACACAGGGAGGATGATAAATCATGACAAAAGATCTTTCCACAAACACATTCATGCACTGGCTGTAATACCAACTGCCAGTCAACTAATCTAATGTTCATTCTCAAACACACACTAAACCTTTGGTATATTTGGGTGTCCTGCAGTAACAACTCAAAACATCACACCATATTATATTAAAATCATATGGTTAAAATACAGTAGTGCAACATGTGATGCTTGTTTGGTCCTTGCTACAACCTAAACCAGATAGAATTTATTTTTGCAAGATATGCGTTATTCTAACGGCCCGTCCACACAGCGGCGTGCGTTGAAGCTTCCAACGCTTCTGCCCATTCACTTTGAATGGGGTGACGTCACTTTTAGCCAAACTGCATTTTGGGAAGCGACGTGGAGCGTTGCTGGCATTGCTCGCTTCAAAAGTTGAGCAATGTTCAACTTTTGACGCCTCGATGGAGGCGTCAGCCAATCGAATCATATGCCAGTACAAGCTCTAGCCAATCAAACCGCGTGCTTGTGTGTCTGGGGCGGGAGATTCATGTGATTGGTTGTTGGTCGAGTTACAGACACGCCCGCCGGCAAGCGTCAACGCACGCCGCTGTGTGGACGGGCCTTAAGTATCTGGTGAGACCATTTTTTTCAAATTAAAGTGGAATGTTAATTAGGTTAACAATAAATCGTGTTTTTATTTATATACGAAATGAATAAAATAAAAATGTTTCTACAAATATCACAATATGTTACATTTTATCATTATAATGATATCATTCATGATTTCTTAATGTATCAATACTGTCATCAGTGGCGGCTGGTCATTAGGGGCACAGCCCCACCTAGTGTCAGAAGAAAGTATTACAAATAATGATTACAAAAAAATACAAAAAAATAAATTAAAAAACATATAAAATATATTTTAAGGTCATGTTTAATAATCTGATTCGTCTGTACATTTCTGTTTTAGTCTGTGTTCTTCTAATTAGTGTCTAGAGTGCCGTTTTGAGCTGTTTAGAGCCATGTGGGACAAAACCCGATCCTGCCCCTCCCTCTCACAGTCTAAGTGAACGGTGATTGTAAAAACTACACTGCGCATGCTCAGAGTATTTTTCTATTAATGTGTGTGGCAAAAAAATAATGACCGTAGGGGCATAGTGCTCCCATCCCCACCATACGTCATCTCACATAATTCAGAATTGATTGGCTGTAAGTACTCACGTGTGCAGTGCTGCGAAACGTCACGTGTAGTTTGAAGAGGAGACGAGAGAGCAGCATATAGCTAACATCACCAGCGATTAAAAGAAGTAAAAAACTGAAAGAAAATGAATGAAGTTGGCCATTTACTGGAGCACACATTTGAGACACTTAGTCTCGGAGAGAAACTGGAGGTAAAGCGCCTCGGTGCCCACCATCCACCGGATTTCCAAATGGTCCAGACTGCGGGCAAAGTTAAACGTGGGTTTAACGCTGAGTGGTTTGCTAAAAATAAATGGCTAACGGCGAGCATCCAGAAGAATTCCCTCTTTTGCTTTCCTTGCCTGCTTTTTGGTGAAGATCAAGGTACTTGGTCGAGGACAGTTACAAGGACTTACAGCATCTTTCGGAGGAGGACAATGAAGCATGAGAGCAGCAACAGTCATTTGGAAAATGCCGTAAAATTGGGATTACTTGGAAGGGTGAATGTTGCAGCTCAGATTGACAGCGCCTACAGACGCGGCATTGATTCTCATAATAGGAAGGTGGAAGAAAACAGGTACGTGCTTGGTCGGATCATCACCTGTATTAAACTGTGTGGGAAATGTGAGACAGCACTGCGGGGCCACAACGAGTCGGCGGACTCTCTGAATCCAGGGATATTCAGGTCAATTTTCGAGACAATGTGTGAGGGCGATTCCAGGCTTCAACGGCACTACGAAGCTCAGCTTGTTTTCAAAGGGACATCAAGCACCATACAGAATGAACTCTTGGACTGCATGTATGATGTGTACAGGGAGGAAATAGCCAAGCAAGTGGACAACACATCATTTGTTGCCGTTCAGGCCGACGAGACAACCGATGTCTCCTGTAAATCGCAAATGGTGATTGTGCTGCGATACATTATGCCTGACCTCACAGTTACAGAGCGTTTTTTGGAGTTTGTGGAAGTAAAGGACAAAACTGGTGTAGGTCTCTCTAACAGCATCAAGGCTGTTCTGGAACCCCTGAAGCTGAAAGAAAAGCTAATCGCTCAGACCTATGACAGGGCGGCCGTCATGAGCGGTAACGTGCGCGGGGTACAGACGGTGATGAAGGAGACGTACCCAAACGCTCAGTTTGTTCACTGCTACGCCCACCAACTGAACCTGACCCTGCAGCAACTGTGTTCAGCAAGGATGAGCATCCTGAAGGTGTTTTTTGCAGATCTAACTGCTTTTTTCCACTTTTTTTCTCCGGTGCTCCAAAACGTGTTGCAGCTCTTGCAGAGGCAACACAGAGACGCATCCCACGGCCACCGGCTGTGAGATGGAACTTTAAAAGCAGAACTGTGAACGCGGTTTGGGAGACCCGAGATGCACTACTTCAGTGTATGAAGCATATACGCGCACAACCAGGATGGGATGCGGTCACCATAAGTGAGGCATACGGCCTGTCAAAGAAACTGCGGGACCGAGCATTTATGCAGCTCCTGGAGTTTTTTCGTTGCTTATGCCAGAAGTGGATGTTCTATACAACACTCTGCAAAAACGAAGCATCGATGCACCTGGGATCAACAGCGCGCTCTGCCGTTTCAAGGAAAATGTTCAGAAAATGAGGCAGAAAACTGATGCATTGGCCGCCACTGCTCATGATGAAACAGACGAGCCAGGCCGACGAGTCAGCAGCACAGCGCCGGTGATGAAGGAGGCTTGTGACACAGTCATCTCACAGGTGGAACAGAGGTTCTCACAGAGTGACCATTTGATCGCTGCAAAGCTTGTTGACAGCTCATTCTTCCACAGCATGTCCTGTCATTTCCTACACCTGAGCTTGAACTGCGCCGTGAAAACTGTGGCCTGCGTTGGGAAACAAGGAGAAGTTGAAGTCTGAGCTGACCACGCTCTACCGCCACAGTGAGCTTCACACTGGAAACACTGCCCTGTCTCTGTTGAAATCCATTCACGAGAACAACTTGGAGGAAACGTTTGCTGAGGACTGTTATTTTGGTCAAAATAATAGTGACAACTCCGATGACGACATCCGAGTCAGAGAGGAACTTTTCCACCCTCAAAAGGATAAAGACTTTCACTCGCAACACCATGGGACAGCCGCGACTTAACGCATTGGCCATGCTTTCAATTGAAAGCCAGTTGATCCAGCAACTACAGGACTTCATCCCCAAAGTGATAGACACATTCTGTCAGAGGAAGGACCGCCGTGCCGCTTTTCTTTTCAAGTGAGCCTTCAGCTTTGGTAAGTTCATTTATGTCATATATTTGTTGATCTTCTGTGTTTTGCCTCTGCTGGATCGATTGATATTGTGACCTCGATGATGAGTGTCTGTGTTTTCCTTATATTTACAGTCTATGGTGTTTTAATGCTAAAGCATTACGGTTGTTGTTATTGTTAAGAATTACTTTGTGATGGTGACCTTTACTCCATGTATGAAGGTGCATTACTATGACATCCCCACGCTGTGTACGTAAATGTATGCGCTCACAGTGTTGCTCCTGTGGTCTTCAGTATGTAATTTGACACTCCCCCTCTCTTTCTCCTCCCCCCCTCTCTCTGTCCCCCCTCTCTCTCTCCTCCCTCTCTCTGTCCCCCCCCTCTCTCTCTCTCTCTCTCCCCCGACCTCTTTCTGCCCCCCCAGTTTTGTACACCTAGAAACGCCACTGACTGTCATGTGTGAAAGTACCATAGACTGTGTATATAAAGGTCAGTACCTGATGTCTGACGGGTCGCAGGCCTCCCAGGAAGTCCGATGTCTCCATGTGGAGGTGACAGTTGACAGAGAAGAACTTCTGTGCAGACAGAGCAGCAAACAGCTGGCAGATAGTTGTCTTTCCACATCTGGTGACGGGACAGGAACAAATCTTAGCATTATAATAATAACAGCAAGTGCAGCAACATTCACTGACAGGTCAGGACCACACTGCCATGGTAGCTGCTCCGAGAGGTTCTACTGAGAAAGCAGTGCTTAACGCTAATTGCTAACATCGGCATGCTAACATGTCATAATGTTTACTAATTAACACAAAGTAGAGCTGAGGCTGATGGGAATGTTTAGTCATTAGTCACTAGTGTCATCACAACTTGGAGCTAGGGCATAGGTCAGTTAATAGCAAAGTAAAAAAACATGTCCATAGTCTGGTCCCCCTATCCCTCCATAGAGCTAGGGATAAAGCTCTCCAGAACCCTTTTACCCTGATCTTCTGAAGGTCACAATGATTAGAATCTCACCCGGTGTCTCCCACCAGCAGGACAGACTCTCCGAATCTCAGCGCCCGTCCCACCAGCACAGCTAGTCTCCTCATGCCGAGGGTCCACACCACATGGCGAAACTCCTCTGGGACCCCGGCGATGCTGTCGATGAAGGGACCTGTCGATCAGAGCAACAAGACGACATCATGCTGTGTTCATCAGACTAGCTTCATGTCTCTCTGAACAGTTTAATGTAAGTCTATAGTGTCCAATTCCTCTTCCACCTTTAAATGGACGCTTAATGATGCAACCTATAGAAACACAGAGTTTAATAGTCCACAGAAATGTGATGAATACTAGCAAGCTTAATAAATTAAAACCTTAGTGGGGGGAGAAAGGACTTGAAGCAAGACTATGCAACTTTGCAGCCACAAAGGCAACATGTGTCAATGACAGAATAACATTCAATTGATTTCTTAATTCACTTTTGTGATATAACCACTTAGTGCTCCAGTAGCACAAATAGAGGGTTACAAAATCAGAGAACTGACCCATGAATGTCATATCACAGTTACACAAAACAATCTATCGCACAGTAACATTCAGAAGTGGTCTGGTCACACAAAATCTGATCATTCTGCATTAGCAGAAGTCCAAATGCACAAAGCAAGGGAGCCTTTTATTTCTGGGGAATGTAACGGGTTGTTCTATAGTAAAATGACTTTTTATTTGTTTTTGTACATCTAAATATACAGTAAAATACTTATTCTAAATCTTGTAGAGCATCAGTTGTTAATAGAAACATCAGTATGCATTATACAGAAAATGCTGATTATACAATGTACATTCTGTCAGTGCCATGTGGTCAAATGTAAGAACAGTAGGTTGTAGGGGTGTTGAAAATAATTGTTTCTACGATGCATTGCGATGCGGACGTGGACGATTCGGTATCGATGCAGTGACGGAAGATAATCGATTATAGCGTAGTAACGTTGCTTCCTGATTTTCCGGCCACAGCTTTACTATAACGTTTTTTTTTCTGTCACTTTAATATCAAATCGGTCGGTGACGCAGAGATCAGGGAACAGATGTGACAGCGGCACAGCATCACCAAACACGGAGCAGTCTGCTTTATCCACCAACACAAGAAGACCAGTCCAGAACCAACAGCAGAATGACCCGCTCTGAATCACTCCGTGTCGCTGCGGCTCAGGGATTTATGTTTTTCAAAAATAATCGCGTTACAATCATGTCAGGTTTTTGGTGGATTTAATTAAGTCTTGGATTGCAAAGTATGAATGTCCTCTAGCAATTTTCAGACGATATATACGTGTGTAAAGTTTGTGAAGGCAGGAGGAAAGCTTCCGCGATCACCGTCTCCTCTCCGTTCCTCCAAGCCCCGCCCCCTCCCTGAAAATAATGAGTGACAGGCTGATAGTGACCCGATAGAAACTTTATTATTCACTTAATCACTGAGATATAATGAAGCTAACTTAATCTCATACATTCATGGGATTTATGTAACAGTAAGACAGAGAATGTAAGTGTGCACCCACATGCAGTATTTTAGTTGTGATATGCTGTTGTAAATACTCTTGTTGTCTGCTGTGTTCAGACTCAAGTCCTGTGTGTGATGCCACATTCAGGACATTCAGTGTCCTTTCTTTAACAGAAGACCGTTGCTAGAAGCTGCAGCTAGACTGCAGAAGCATTGTTTTTTTGTTTTTGAGGATGGAACAACTTCATACACATATATAAGGAGGCTAGACCTATACAATTCATTTATTTTGGTTTATAAATGAATGTCAAGACATTTATGTTATTGATTTCTGAAGCACTTCCTAAATAATAAAAAGAGAGTTCATATGTATTTACTGCATGTATGCATTGATGAAAAATAAGCCATGTGCAGTAATATAGAAAATTGAGGATGCAACGCATTGGTATGAATCGTGATGCATCGGGATATCGAATTGAATCGAATCGTTGACAGGATAATCGTAATCGAATCGAATCGTGAGACCCGTGAAGATGCACAGCCCTAGTAGGTTGACTGTAAGATCAAATCAAATCAAGTTTTATC